TAAGAATTGCACGGATATAACTATGGGCCTTTTATGTGACTTCCTTAATCTAGAATAAAGTTTTCAAGATTCATTGACATGGTCATACATTCCTTTGTATGACCAAATAATATTCCATTATGAATATACTACAGTTTAGTTGTTCACACATCAATCAAGCGTTTGCTCCTTGGCTGTTACAAGCAGTGCTGCTGTGAACGCTGCAGTACACGTTTTTCTTGGACCTGTGTTTTCAGGCCCCCCAGGAGTGGAATTCCTAGGCCAGAGGGCATCTCCATATTGAACCCTTTGAGACTAACTTTGAGGTTACCCCTTGAGGCCAGAATATTTCCCAAAGCATCTGCTGCATTTTAGAATCCCAGCAGCTGTGTCTGAGGGTTCTGTTCTCTCCATATCCCCACCAACTCTTGATGTTGTCTCTCCTTTTAAGTGGAGGTGATTCTTGCTATGGTTTTTCTTTATATCTCCTTGATGCCCAACCATGTGAGCATTCTTTAGCTTATGGACCAGCTATGCTTCTTCTTTGAAGAAACGTCTATTTGAGTCCTTTGCCCATTTTTAAGTGGGTTTTTGAGTTGTTGAGTTTAACGCATTTTCTCTGTATGTTGGATACATCCTTCCATATTCCTTGGGTGGAAGGAGTCCCTAAAAGTGGGCTCCTTCATTCTTTTACTCAATACTTGTTATTTCTAGGCACTGGTAATACTTGGTGAGCAAAACACATCTCCCCAAGGTCTGCTTTATTGGAGCTGACAACGTAGTGGGAGGAAGCTAACAGTAAGCATAAATGCGTAAAACATGCAGAGTCAGGTACTAAAAGTCAGAGCAGAGAAAGCTGTAAGTAGTGGAAATCACGAATTTAAACATAACAACGAAGGAAAGTCTCAAGGAGAAGGACACATTTGACTGACGACTGATGGATATGACAAAGCAAGCTGTATGGACACCCACATAAGGAGGAGTCTAAGAACTAAAAGCAGCAAGGGCAAAGACCCAGGGACCACGGAGCCTGTGTGTGGGAGAAACCGTGAAGCATTCGGTATTCCCAAAGTAGGATGCCAAGAGGCAAGCAGGTGGAGCATGGCTTTACAAACCATGATTAGCTTTTGACTTCTATGCTACACAGCGTAAGAACCTATCAGAGAGTTTGAAGCAAGCAGTGGCATGATTTTATTTCTCTCTTGGAGCTAATCTTTAAAGAAACCAGTCATTTCAAGAGCAGCTTGTGGAAGAAGGGGGAAAGCAAGGAGATGTTTTAGGGGCTTTTAAAACAATCCAGACAAAAGACAGTGACAGCTCAAAGCAGGGACTAACAGTGAGACACTGAGAACAAGTTAGATTCTGGACACACTGTGAGGATGAAGCTGGTAAGACTTGAGGACATGTGGAATAGAGGATGAAAGAGAAAGAGAGGGGCCCAGCACTGTAGCCTAGTGGCGAAATCCTCACTTGCAACCTCTAGAATCCTATATGGGCTCCAGTTCTTGTCTTGGTTGCTTCGCTTCCTATGCAGCTCCCTGTTTGTGGTCTGGGCAAGCAGTCGAGGATGGTCCAAGGCCTTGGGACCCTGCACCCATGTGGGTTACCTAGAGGAAGCTCGTGGCTCCTGGCTTTGGATCAGCTTGGCTGTTGCAGTCATCTGGTGAGTGAACCAGCAGACAGAAGATCTTTCGCTCTGTATCTCCTTCTCTCGTTTTCTCCTTCTCTCTGTAAAATCTGCCTTTCCAAAAAAAAAATAAATAAATCTTGGAAAGAGAGAAACAAAGGAATCAATGACTTTACAAGATTTTTATCTCAACAGAAGAGGAACTGAAGAAGGAACAGGTTAGAGTGGTAACAGCCAAGAGCTGAAGTTTCGGTTCAGAGCTGAGTCTGAGATGCTTGTTAAAGGACAGGTGCTGGGAATGTAGCTGCGGAGCTGGGGCAGGCATTTGGTGCAATGGTCTGGCTATTGGAATGAGATACCTGTATTTCATATTAGAGCATTTGGGTTCGAGTTCTGGCTCCACTCTCGATTCCAGCTAATACAGACATCGGGAGGAAACAGGTTAATAGCTTACATAATTGGGCCCCTGCCACCTGCGCGGGAGATCTGGGTTGTTTCCTCTCTTCAGCCAAGCCCAGCCCTGGCCCTTGCAGGCACTGGGGGAGTGAATCAGCAGAAGGGAAATCTGTTTCTCTCTTTGCCCGTTTGCCTCTCTTTGTGTATCTCTGACCTTCAAATAAATAAATAGATTTTAAAGGATTATAGCTGAATACTGAAGTCTGGAGTTCAGGAAAAGATCTGGGAGTCACTGGGAGGGTTCAGAAAGGCGTACCAAGTCCACTGACTGGCAGCTGCTCTGCGTAACATCCTCCTTCTGGAGCATGGGAGGAGGTGTCCCCAGAGACACCAGCTGTGCCGTGTCCTGTCTGGAGGGAGTCGCCAGTCGTCCCACGGAGCTTCCACCTGCCGTGTTCGTTACTACAGTGCTTCCAAGCATAGGGCTCTCCCCAGGTACACCCATGCAAATGTGCAATTTCTCTTTACATCTTTCACAGCACACATTAACCGTGCTGTGGGTGATTGGTATTCTGTCTCCCGCCTCAAATGACATCCCACTATTGTCCCACTAATCAAGAACAAGGGCCCTGTCATTTGGTGCTCGTCACAGGACCATGGCCTTGTCTTGATATTGGAGATTCTGAATGTGACTCAGAATGTCTGTGGGTAACTCAAGGGTTCACAGCACAGCTCGCTTCATGAGAACATTGTCCAAAAGAAGCTGACAGTCTGTCTCTCCACAGTGCTTAATTATGTTGGATCCACCAATCATACGCTCTGGTGGACTCTCCCTCATAGCATATAAACCTTTCAATATTAGAGCCTTTTCTAGGAATAAAGAATCCTCTAGACTCTCTGCCCTTTGCGCCTGAAGGCTCCCATCTAGAACCTTATAGAAAGAATCTTCACCTGGGCTTATGGCAGTTTTCTCCTTTGTCACTCATTGTTATTTCACTTCCCTTCTGGATAACGTTTGGCTTAGGAAATGGGAGTCAGCTTCTCTGGCCTGGTAGTGTCCCAACTCTCAGAATCTCATTTCTTACCTCAAGTCTGCCCTGCTGAGTCAGTGTCAGCTCAGGCTTCTTTCCCCAAGGGGCCTGGCCAAGTCCCCAGACACCAACTTCTGGGGATTAGAGAGTGACCTTCAAACTCGGGGTGGATTTGGCCATTCTCAACTCACTTCAATGGCGCTGCTATCCCCAACACAGCAGTGCTGCTTTCCAGCTGGCTTAATCTTGCCTACCTAATTTGAAGAAGCAGATTAGTTTGGCCAGATTTTGTAGTCTTTCACGGCTTTCTAAAATGCAATTATATCCCTTTCAAAATCTTTTTCACCTTCTTATCTGGCAGCCTCCCAGTTTGGTAATAACTTTAATCTGAAATTCAAAAGTCCCAAATCCAAAATATTTTGAGGCTCAGGCCTTGTGGCAGAGTGAGTTAAACCTCTGCAGAGACACCCACACCAGCGATGGCATCCCGTTCAGTTTCCCATCAATGCACATGGGAACGCAGCCAAAGATGGCCCGAGTACCTGAGTCCCTGCCACTGCCACCCACATGGAGAACCATGGCCCAGCCCTGGCTACTGTGGATTCTTTCTCTCTCTCTGCCTTCCAAATACTTTCTTTCTTTTTTTCTTTTTTTTAATTTTGAGCACCTGCATGATTCCCACAAGTGGAAAATTCCACACCCTGTGTGACCAGCCATACTCATCCAGTCATAGTCAAAAGGCAGACACACTAAAAATAGTATATGAAATTACTCTTGAGTTATATGTATAAAGTATATATGAAACACAAATGAATTTCATGTTTAGAACTGGGTCCAATTCTAAAGGTATCTTATTATGCAGATGCAAATACTCCCCAAAATCTGAAATCCAGTCTATTTCTGGATCCAAAGGGTAAGGAGTACATAGCCTGCATTGATTTTTTAAAAACCTACCCACAGGGCCCAGCCCGATAGCCTAGCGGCTAGAGTCATCGCCTTACATGTACTGGTATCACCTATGACTGCTAGTCCTAATCCTGGCTGACCTACTTCCCATCCAGCTCCCTGCTTGTGGCCTGGGAAAGCAGTCGAGGACAGCCCAAAGCCTTGGGAGCCTGCACCCATGTGGGAGACCTGGAAGAGGCTCCAGGCTCCTGGCTTTTGATCAGCTCAGCTCCAGCCATTGTGGTCACTTGGGAAGTGAACCAGCAAATGGAGAATCTTCCTCTCTGTCCCTCCTCTCTGTATATCTGACTCTCCAATTAAAAAAAAAAATCTTAAAAAAAAAAAAACACGCACATAGGAATAGGCATTGTGGCAGAGCACGTTAAGCCACCCCTTGGGCCACCTGCATCCCGTATCAGAGTGCCAGTTCAAGTCCTGACTGTTCTGCTTCCAATATTGCTTCCTGTTAATGCATTCTAAGTGGCAGCGTGTGACAGCTCAAGTGCTTGGGCCCCTGCCACCCATGAGGGAAACCCAGATGGAGTCCTGGGTTCCTAGTTTTACCCTTCCCTAGCCCTGCCTGTTGGGGACATTTGGGGACAGAGCCCAAGGATGGAATCTGTGTGATGTGTGGGTACCTGTGGGGAAAACCACTAACTACATTCTCAGTGTGTTTTATATGAAGAGAGTCCAGCAAATCCTTTGGCCTCTAAGTGGAGGCTGAACTTTTCTTGGTCTAGTTGCTTCCCAAGATCCTTTCTAGTGGTAGTTTCTGATTTTTATCATTTTGGGAATTGCAGTTGACTATAAAATCCAAAACGATGATATGATTTTTATTTATATTCTTTTGCCTAGATGAGTTATCTGTACTGTGTTGTCTGTGTATAGTGTTTCCTCGGCAAAGGCCATTTCCCTTTCTTCCTGTTGCTTGTATTTGCTGAAGTCATGCTTAAAACGTGTGGAGGCAGAAACTGGTTGATGTCTCCCACTATCCTCTGATGCTTGCCCTTTTCCTAGGTCCGTGAACAATTTCCTGATGACTGGCCCAAAGGTAAGACAACGTTCCTTTAATTGGCATGGATTTATTAGCTTGTTGACTGAAGCCTGAAAGGGCTTGTAAAAAGTTTATGGGAAATGGACACTACGCAAAAGGATTATCCATGGACTTTCAATGGTTTTTGCATCAGACTCGTCATTGCATCTTCCATGAGTTTTGAAGACCCACGTTCATGTCCACTTCTTTCCATTAGATCCACAGCTTTATCTTGTAATGTGTGTCACAGAGGGGGTGAGGGACAGCTCCAGGTCCACACTGCACACTAATGTCAGAGCTGAGAACTCAGAAATTCTGATTTGGAGTTCAAGGCTAGGATTCCAGACATGAGTATGATAAAATGGCATTTCATCCCTAGACTTGCCATCGCCCCACTCTGGGATATGAATACAGGATGTCAGCCCACTCAGCCACAGATTCCTTGTATATAACAAGGTTGTGATGCTAACTAAGACAGCACAATTAAAACATTTAGGAGGGGGTGGGTGAGTGGGCAAGAGACAGCACCTACATCTGGCCTGAATGTTGGCTCATGTGCCCGCAGGCTTACCTGATCTACTCCAGCAGTGTGGCCGCTGGGGCCCAGAGTGGCATTGAAGAATGCAAGTACCAGTTTGCCTGGGACCGCTGGAACTGCCCAGAGCGTGCCCTCCAGCTGTCGAGCCATGGTGGGCTCCGCAGTGGTAAGGAGAGCCCCTGCCACAGCTCCTGGGAGCCCCTGGTCCCAGCCTCTGCCCCCACCATGCCTCTCCCTCTCTGGACTCTCTTTTTCCCAGTCGTCCTTCTCACCTAGACAGTTTTCTCCCTTTCCCAATAATCTCACTGTGCAACAGGTATACCTTGCCTCACCCCTAGTTCTCTGCCATCCTGGCCCTCGAATTGGCTACAGGGCAGTCTCAGGATGTAAGTAATGTCAATAGGAAGGTAGGAACTGAACTTTCTTTGGCCAGCTTAGCAGAGACGTACCAGCCCAGTGGCAGTTGGCCTGGAGGCCAGATTCCCAGAGACATGATAAAAGCACTCGTACTGGTCACTGCCCAGCCGTGGCTCTTCTCCAGACCAGCCAAGCAGGCCTTGGTGGCCACAGTGTCCTTGCAGGAGCAGTGGGGATGGTCCTTTACAACCTGCCCTTCAGATTCTTCTAATTCCCATGGCTTCCAGGGGCACCCTTCCCACTCAAATCCTTTACAATCACTTCTGTCACCAATGACTACCAATAGCTACAAGATGACTGACTTGAAAAGGCAGGAAGGGATAGGACAGCCTCAAGAAAAGGATGGATACCTTGAAAATAAGGGGAGATAGCGCAGGGTGGGGAGGGTAGTGGGAGGATTGTGTTCAAGACGGGCAGTGGGGCTGGTGTGTCTGGGCGCCCCTCTAACTCCGGACTTCGGTTCCTGCCAGCGAACCGCGAGACGGCGTTTGTGCATGCCATCAGCTCTGCCGGCGTCATGTACACACTGACCAGGAACTGCAGCCTGGGCGATTTTGACAACTGTGGCTGTGACGATTCCCGAAACGGGCAGCTGGGTGAGGAGTGCCATGGGGGTGGGTGGCCCAGGCCGGCGAGGATCACTGAAAGGCAAAAGAGGTGGGTGGGGTGGACAAGAGGTGCGTGCTTGTGTGAATACAAGGAAAAGCGTGGTGAAGCTGGGGAAAGAGTTTAAGCCCAAAGCCTCTGGTTCCAAACCAAACCATGCAAAATGTAACTGGGGCCTTCTCCTTCACGGAACCACACACATTGCAACAACGTGATGGGGTACCACTCCCTGTAGACTCAGGCCTCCAGACCCAGACAGAAGCCTAACTTCCTCCTGGGTGCCATCCCTCCACACCTACATCCACTTTTTTCTTAAAGGTTTTTAAAATTTTATTGCAAAGTCATATACAGAGAGGAAGATCTTCCATCCGTTGATTCACTGCGCAAGTCGCCACAAAGGCCAGAGCTGAGCCGATCCAAAGCCAGGAGCCAGGAGCCTCTTCCAGGTCTCCCATGCGGGAGCAGGGTGGCTTTGGGCTGTCCTTGACTGCTTTCCCAGGCTGATATGGGTCGTGCATGTCCTGACAAGTGTCCTAACCGGTGTCTCAACCATTGTGCCAAAGACCCTGGCCGATGGCATTTCACAGCATGCCTCTCCCCAATAGTGCTGGAGTGTTCCTTACCTCTTTCCGTACCGTTTTGTCCTTCCTGGACATCAACATCAGACGGGCCCCTGCACTCTGTGACCACTGGATTGGCTATATGCAGGGGAGGAAGGCCCCCAACACTTTACAGAGAATCTACTTAGCAAGTATTTACGTCATGGAGCCCTGAGCGGGGGATTGGCTGGGGCTGGAAATGGGTGCACAAAAGTGGCATAAACACATCTAGGCTGAAACTAATCCGGGCACAGGGCACTCATCCAACATTAATCCTTGCCTAGCTCATCCTTCTCCCCCACCATCCCCAAACCCAGTTAGAAGCAGCAGCCCAGGAGAGTGCTGAACCACCTTTCTCCCTCTGCACTTTTCCAGGGGGCCAAGGCTGGCTTTGGGGAGGCTGTAGTGACAACGTGGGCTTTGGAGAGGCCATTTCCAAGCAATTTGTTGATGCCCTGGAGACAGGACAGGATGCCCGAGCAGCCATGAACTTGCACAACAACGAGGCTGGCCGCAAGGTGAGTCCCGGGTCCCTAGCTAGCATCCTCCACCTGGATCGCCCGGCCACACAAGGTGCGGACAACTCTTTCATCACCGCCCAGATTGTACCCAGTGGGCTGACCCGGGAGCGCCCCTACTCTGGGCAGAGGAGCTCTAGCCACTGCAGTTCTTCCCTGCTTCTCAGTCCTGGTTCTCCCCACAGGCGGTGAAGGGCACCATGAAACGCACGTGCAAGTGCCACGGCGTGTCCGGCAGCTGCACCACACAGACCTGCTGGCTGCAGCTGCCCGAGTTCCGCGAAGTGGGAGCGCATCTGAAAGAGAAATACCATGCGGCGCTCAAAGTGGACCTACTGCAGGGTGTGGGCAACAGCGCGGCCGGCCGCGGCGCCATCGCTGACACCTTCCGCTCCATTTCCACCCGAGAGCTGGTGCACCTGGAGGACTCCCCGGACTACTGCCTGGAGAACAAAACGCTGGGGCTGCTGGGCACCGAGGGCCGAGAGTGCCTGCGGCGGGGGCGGGCCCTGGGCCGCTGGGAGCGCCGCAGCTGCCGCCGGCTCTGCGGGGACTGCGGGCTGGCGGTGGAGGAGCGCCGCGCCGAGACCGTGTCCAGTTGCAACTGCAAGTTCCACTGGTGCTGCGCCGTCCGCTGCGAGCAATGCCGCCGGCGGGTCACCAAGTACTTCTGTAGCCGCGCGGAGCGGCCACGGGGGGGCACTGTCCACAAATCGGGGACAAAAGCCTAACGGGCCCCTCTCTTGCCTCTTTTCCGTGATTGTCCCTGGCATCCTTTAGATACCCAGTCATAGAGGAGTCTAGGGGATGGGGACTCCAAAAGGGAGAGACTCTATCATGTATTTGGAGCTTGCCGGTTGCAGTCAGTGCCCCAGTTCCAGTGGGCTCTCCCAGAGTGGCCTCACAGCCCACACTGGGGCCTGAGGACTCCGTAAGACTCTGAGCCAGCGTTCCTTGGACCAGGATGAAAGCAGGCCTCCCTCCTCCGCCTTCCTAGCTGCCCCAGCCGTCCGAGCCTTAGGAACCAGAAGGGCCCTTCTCAGAACTGTAGGGCCCAGGTACAGCTGCGGCTTTCCTCTTTGCTCCGCTGACTGCCCAAGATCTCCACCACAGCTGCTGCAGGGCGTGGCTCAAGCTTCCGTAACTACTGACACAGACCCCTGGGAATCTCGAATGCTTCCCTACCCCTTCTTTCCTTTCAAGAGAAACAGAAAAGGCTGACCTAGGGGTAGAGGATGCCTTTAGGTGGGACTCGTGGAGACGGAGGTTGAGGCTGAATGACCCCTAGAGTGTGGATGACTTGCCGAGTAGCAAGAACCTGATTCATGCTTGTATGGCAGCCCAGATGGACAATCCGCCGGACTGCAGACGCGGGACTTGAAGGTGTAGGAACCAGGGGGCACAGTCATTTCCTAATCTGTACAGTGACTTTCTCCCAGCTCAAGATTTCCTCCTGAGGCAGTCAACCTTATCTCTTTGGCCTCCCTGAGCCAGAACACAGGTGAATAAAGCCAGTTTCCCACCAAGATCCTGCTCTACAGGCCAGATCCTGGGGAGCAGAAGCTGGGACACGCTTCCCTCTTGCGGCTTTGACAGGCAGGATCCGGGCCCTGGACCTCTTCCTTCCACAGGTTCACTTCCTGCAGTGTGACTGTGGCTCACAGGAAGGTCAGCACTTTGAACCTTAACTTATTGCAGTCAAGTGATATGTGCCCCTTCTCCCTGGTGATGAGCTCATTCTTGGGGCTATTTTGAGGCAGAATGGGGTAGAGGACAGAACCTCTAGGTTCCTTCCTTACATTTGCCTTCCTATACTGTTACTTCCCTGAAGGCCTAGGCAGTTGTGCCTGCCAGTTCCCTGGTCCTGGGAGTGTCCCAGACCAGTCCTGGAGGGAAGTCCCAGCTGCTACCCAGCCCCAACTCCCATCCCCCAGAGTACGGGAAGAGCTGGAGACCTACAGGCTGGCCTCTAGGAGGGGCTCCCACATTTCAAACTCAGCCTAGGGCCAGGGTCCGATGCCACCCCCCTGGTCTAACACCTATACTTCCTCTGGTCCTGCTAACGGGGACCGAGGATGGAGGCTCCCCTTTCTTAATGGGGGGACATGCTTCCCCTCTGGGTCTTCTCGTGCCTCACCCCAGCTCTGTCAGCAGAGCTCCTTCCCTGTTTTTGTCTGATTCACTTCCCGTCCCTGACAAGGAGCAGCGACGCCCCGACGGCCCCGGCTGCCCCACTTGGCTGAATGACTTTATAAGGTACTCGGAACAAACTCTGGCAGGGCAACGGGAAAACATCAAAGTATAACAGTGTGAACTGTGGTTCCTAATAGCTCACTCCAGGTCAGTCCCTGAACCACACCATGCCTCCAGGAAGGACTTTGGGTGGAGTGAGGGGTACTATTTTGTATCCCCAAAACAGGCATGGTTGATACTAGATTCATCTGAGAAGCATCCCTGAGTGCCCTCAGCACTTTTTTATTCCTCTCTTGCTGTATCCATTCGTTCATTTGTTCATTCAACCAACACCTGATTTAAGACAGCACAGCGAGCCACAGTGATGTCCCTGCTTCTGTGGAGTTCAAGGTCTTATCAATCACCTGTGTTTTCCTTTACAAATGTGGACAACTCCGGAATTGTTACCTCGAGGACACCTTGAGGGTCAGTTCATTAGCGCTGTTGTTGGATGGACTGACACTGAGCAGTGTCCATGCAATGAGTCCTGGGACCCGGGCCCCTTCCCTCCCCGTGTGTGGCTCCTGAGGAGCCCATCTGTCTGAGGAGAGCCGCAGAGGGAGGTCCTGAGAAGTGACCAGGGACGCTGGTTGGGGTGGGCGAAACAGTCTCCTTGCTGTCCCTGGCTTGTGAGCTTTCTTTTCGTGAAAGGAATCCCAGCTTCAGCTGGCCTTAGCAGCGGGTTAGGGCAAAGACAGAGACAGGGTCGTCCCCCGCGCTGGTGGCGCCGCTGGTTGTGGGAGGGAAGGGCAGGCCAGGGCACTGGCCTATTGTGGGTCTGGATTGGATGCTTCCACTCATTCATTTCCTTTTAATTAACCCGCATTCCTGGAGGAGAAATATTTATGTTGGCTACCCAGAGAGGCGCTCCTCAGACTGGAAAGAAAGGGGAAGAAAGCCTGTCTTAGCAAAACAATATCTCTAAAGAGCTCAGAAAGAGAAAATAGGGTGAACAAAATGCCATTAAAATAGCCTTCTACCCCCACTGGAGTCAATGAAAACTTCATTTCACATGCTAATCCGCCACTCCGCCCCTTTCTCTTCTCACAACACCTTTTCCGAAAAGTGTTTGGGAAAAGTCTTCACAGTCAGGACACAGCTCCCCGCAGCTCAGACTTCTCCTTGTGTTAGTTCAGCGCCCCAAGTGGGGCTCCCTCTCCAGCAGTGGCTTTTTTCTACCCCCTCCCCCTTTAATTTAAACAAAGACTTCGGAGTTCATCAACCTCCCACTGAAATTCACAGCTGCTGAACAAACTAATCCTCTCTCCCGGTCTTTCTTCCCTTCAATGGGCTCTTGGCTTCAAAGACACTTTGGGAAAGGACTTTGCTGGGGCTCACACTGCTTCATCAATAGAAGTTAGTGCAAGTATTATCTGAAGAGCAAGTGGCTTTACAAACAAATACTGCCTAACAATCCGTCCCTCCCAAACACACACATCTAGCCTGCAGACATGATGGGATTTACAACAGGATTAGGCCGGGTAGCCCCCGGCTTCACACCGAGCCCCTTTGTGCAGCTGAGCTCAGCCCAGAAGTGGTGTGGGGAAAACCCTGGAGCTGAATGTCAGGCCCGGATGCAGGCAGACGGGCAATCACACACACTCATACACACACACACACACCATGAGCAGCGTAGCCACAGGCAGACACACACGCACACACACACACACACACACACGGCCACAAATGCTGCAAAGGAAATAGATCCACAGCATAATCAGTGGGCCAGTAGGGCGGGATGCCTTCCTTTATTCAGTTCTCTTGACTTCTCTTGCCATGAGCCTCTCCCCAGCCTACAGAGGGTCCAGGAAGCAGGAATGGGATGTAACAGTAAAACAGGGCTCAAAGGACACAAATAATCATCGGGAAGATGACCGAGGAAACCAAACCAAGTCACTTTTTATTAAGTACATCAGTGCTTATGCAAATGCTGAGTGCAACCATGAAAAGGCAGCCTTGTTCCAGAACTGGAATTTTATTTGCAGAAAGAAGTCTAGGCTGTACTCTCAAGTTCAAACACAGGTGGAGGGCAGCCACTACCTACAGGCTGAAGTCCCTTAGCTCCTATTTTACGACCTAAGTCAGCTCCCAGCACAAGGCATTCCTGCTTCCATCTGCCTGCCACCTTCCCCAGTTACCCTTCAGAACGCTGGCACTCGAGAAGTTCCATTTCAAAAGCATCACGATTTCTTGGCCCAGATCAGTGTCCACCCTTCATGCTCAAGGCTCGTTCAGAGGTGAACAGCAGCCAACTCCACTCTAGCCCCTAGGGCTATGGGAGAATGTGCACTCAGGAATACAGAGTGAGAGGCAAGAGGGAAAAGGCAAGGTCAGGCTCATAAACCACTGAAGGGAAAAAAAAAAAAACACCACCCATGAGATGGGTCCTGGCAGAGGTAGACTCAGGGGAACTGATGCTGTTCACCCTCTCAGAACCCAGTCAAACAGAATATCTCTGGGGGAGAGACAGCCTGGCCAAGTCCCCCCTGAGTGTGGCACTAGGGAAGGGAGGGGTTGGCTCTGTGCCCTGCCTATGGGGCTGACAGACTGTTGGTAGACATTAAAAAGCTAGAGATAAAGGAGGAAAACACAGACGACCCTGGTTGTTTTGAGCCAAACTATGGCATCACATATGCGGGAGCCAGGCAAGGGGGTTGGGAAAAACAAACAGACCCTGTTGCAGAACCTCCCACCCCACTACAGGGTGATAAATGTGGAAGTGCTCTTCCAGCAGGAACAAACGGCTGCCTGGGTCACACCCGCAGCTTTTGGGCAATGGTGAGGACAGCCTTCAGGATGGGCATGAAACTCGACACCTCGCTGAAGCTGCTGCAGCCCATCACCTGGGTGTGCACCGCCAGAGCTTGCTCCAAGTGGCCTGTGTCCACACATCGGGCCACCTCGTGCAACCCAGCCAGGACCTGAGGCGAGAGCTGTGGAGGGACGGACTCATAGGTTAGCAGGCCCAACCCACCCCTACCCGGGCAGCGGCATACAAGGGATGAGAGAGGGCTCAAACACTGCACCCCAGTGCAAGCAAAGGCGGGTAAGCCATGGGAAACCCACGTCGGTGAGAACAACAGGCAGCAACGACTCCAGCCTCCTGGGCAGGGCAGAAAGCAGGAGGCAGGGGCACAGTAAGGTGGACTTACCGACCCCACGTAGAGCTTCTCATAAAGACATTCTAGACGCTGGGCTGCCTCAGCCAGCTTCCGCTTTGTCTTCTGCAGGCAAGGGAATGAATCCTGTCCCTAAGTCTCACAGCACTACCCAGGCCTACTAAGAATCACAGAATCATATTGGAGCTAGAAAGGCTTCATGCTGCCTCCCCAGTATCTTGGAGGAGGCAATGGAGGCCCACAGCGCTGTGACTGGCTCCAGCTGACCCCGCTGGCCCAGGAATGGTAGACGCCCTTATCCTCGCCTCACTCTCCTCCCAGTGCTCCCTACCACCTCCATGAGTCCAGTCCCATGGAGCTGCACAGACCTCTCAGCCCTCCCCTGCTGCACATGGATGAACTAGGCGCTTTGGGTTGGAGAATATCCTGGTGGGGAGGGGAAGGCGTGGTAGATTCCAGTTAAGAAAGTGTTCCATCTTTCAGACCCCAATTTCCCCATTTCTAACTATACCCCTAAACCTGTTATCTTTTTACTCTACAGAAGCATGAGACACAGTCAGCATGCCCCAGAGCAGCGAGGAAAGTCATACCAGGAGCCATTTATAGACAAGGGGTTTCAGCACATGAGAGGCGGAGAACGTGTGTGTGCGTGTGTGTGTGTGTGTGTGTGTGTGTGTGTGTGTTGGCGGGTACTGTGCAGCAATCCAGACTTACCAAGTCAGTGGCAGAGAGGGAGCAGCGGTGGAGAAGCGCCTCAAAACTGGTCTTCAAGGGCTGATGCTCCGGGGGCAGCTCCTTCCTGCTCATATCCGTAGGTGGCAGCTGCTGGAAGTGCTGATGGAGGGGCAGGGTGGAAGGACGCACAGGTGAGCTGTCCCTGTCACGGTTTCCTGAACAGCTCCCTCAGTCAGTGACTCAGGCTCACAGTGACTGGGTTCAAGCAGTGTCAGGAGAAGACCCCCAACCCCCTTCTAGGCCCTGACACTCAGGCCCTGCCCCTTCAGATGGACCTAGCTTGGGGAAGGAGGCCCACCTATTGTGTACTCAGAGAGGGCTGAAAGGTTTTTCAGGGGTGGCGAACACACTGTGCCTGTCACCTGTGGGCTGAGTTCTCCTGGAGCTCCAGGGGGAGCATGACGCACGCCAGAGGCAGGGGGCTGAGGGGCAAGGCTTAGAACTGGAACAGTAATTGGTGCTGGTGCCATAAATGTCTCTGGCAGCTAGAGAGAGACAGAAAGGCACATCAGGGTGAGCTGACCACACAGGCCTTGGTTTTGAGGACTGGCAGAAATTAGAGTGAAGAAGGAGCCAGAACAGGGCAGGAAGGAGGAGGGTGCTGAGGAGAGGAGAGAGGAAAGGGGAGAGGAATGTGAACAGCAGGGCTGAATTCTCTAAGGAACCTGAATGGGGATGCTGTATGACCTTTGCCCCCCAGAGGTTCCCCCTGGGGGCTGCAACATCTCTCTGGAATCCTTGGGAACCTGTGGAGTAAAAAGATAACAGGTTTAGGGGTATAGTTAGAAATGGGGAAATTGGGGTCTGGAAGATGGAACACTTTCTTAACTGGAATCTACCACGCCTTCCCCTCCCCACCAGGATATTCTCCAACCCAAAGCGCCTAGTTCATCCATGTGAGGCAAGACTCCCAGGGAGCAAGAATGCAGAAGCAGGACATCCTAGAAGGAAGGCTGACCTGGCAGAGAAGTCAGGGTGCCAGCTGTTGGGAAGGTGCTAGGGCAGGGAGCACCCGGCCCTCCAGGAGGACACATCACAGGGAAAGTGCCAGGACAGGCTGGTGGCTGCAGGCTTGGAGAGCTGGGAGCTGGTGGTCTTACAGGAGGCAGCAGGGATGGTCTCTGAGCCCCAAGCAGGCAGGTGGAGCCAGGCTGTATGTGTGGGGCTGCCAGGGGTGGTGGCGGGGCCGGAAGAGGCCACGTTCCAGGGAGCCCCACAGGGTTAGGAGCATGAGCCCCGTGTCCTAAGAGCTGTGGTTGAGAAACAGCTGAAGAACAGAAATAGTCATTTGCCAAGCATTTCACATCATGAGAGCACATCAGAGAGGAACTGTAGCAATAACAACAAACTGATAATAGTAATGATCAGAACTCATTTAAAAAAGACTACAAAGTACTTTTAACCATATTCCTTACTGATTTTCCAATAATCCTGTGTCACTTCATATGTTGCAGAGGGATACAAAAACTCTAAGTGACGGTGTTAGGAATTCAGACTCAGACTTGGAAGCTTTTCACGCTGGACAGATGCCACCCAAACCCGCACCAGCATGCCAGCTGCACTCCTGAGGTCTCTGTGCTCAGCCTAGACCGATGTCTCACCCACTCATCCACTTACCAGGCCTTCCCCCAGGGCCCAGAGGTAAAGACTGGGCCACATGGGGCCTAGGTATCCTGTTGTCACTCACAGTCTGCGTCCCTGGGCTCTGGTAAGGGCTAGGACAGGCAGGGGTCAAGGGGAGCACTGGTGGCGATGGAGGTATGGCCTTTGACCTTGGACACGGTGTCTGAGCCTGTGAAGAGGAAAGGGCCAGCTCTGGGACAGGCGCGGAAAGGAAGCCACCGAGAAGACAAGCATGAGAGACAAGCCAGGAAACCAAAACAGCTCCTCAAGAAACAAATCAGTAACATGGACAAACCTCTATAGAGATGTATAAAAAAGACAGAAGATACAAATTATGCTGGCCAAAAAAGGGACTGTCACACCAGCCCCTGATGCCATTGGAAGTACAGTAGAAGAAACTTCCAACAACTTTCCAGTCAAATTCAGCAGCACAGAAGGAAAGGTCCAGTTCCTCAAGAACTGCAGACCACTAAAATCCAGACAAAACTAAACTGAACAGCCCTATAGCTGCTGAAGACCCAGAATTTATTATTAAAAATCTCCCTGGAAATTTCTAGGCTTAGATGTTTCTACTAGACAATTTTACCAAGAATTCAAAGAATTAACACAAAGCTTATACAATCTCTCCCAGAAAATGAAAGGAACACTTTATAAGGCTGGTATTATTCTGATACCAACACCAAAGATGGCACAAAATAAAACTACAGACCAATATTTCTCAGACATTGACATTCAAAGATCTTCAATAAAATTTGACCAAATCCAAACCAAGGATGTACATATCAAGAAATATTTTACAACCTGGTGAGATCTGCCTCAGGTCAGGCAAGGTTCGCCTAATATATTTAAGAAATGAAGTAAAAAATGCAATTCACCATATCAACAAATTAAAGAAGAAAATTATATGATCATATTAAAAAAGTTAGTTGAAAAATGGAACTAAAAGATAATGCAAATTTACCACCACCTTTTTAAAGCCCCCTTGTATAAAATGATGCAAAAAAAAAAAATACTTGACAAAACTCACTCATGATCCTGTATACAGGTGCTATGTCCTGGATGTATTCCCTCCCCCAAAATTTCAAGGGTTAGAAATTTAAGCCCCAGTGCTTCAGTATTGGTAAGCAGAGCTTTTGGCAAGCGTTTAGGTCATGAGGGCTCTGCCCTATGAATAGCCTAATGCCAATATGTAAAGGGTTTCTGGGAGTGAGTTTTTCTCTCTCTCTCTCTGTTTCTCTCTCTCTCTATCTCTCTATCTCCTTCCCTCCATCCCTCCCTTTGACTTTCTGCCAGGTGAGGACACACTGCCCCTTCCCTCTGGGCTGCAACAACAAGCGCCATCTTGGAACCAGAGACTGAACTTGCTGGCACTTTGATCTTAGTTTTGCCAGCCTCCAGATCTGTGAGAACAAATTTCTGTTCTGTGCAGATTCTGTTATGCAAGTACAAAACAAACTAAAGATGCAAGGAACACAGGAAAACTTCCTCAGCTCATAAACAACATCTGAAAACCTGACAGCTAACATCACTTTTAATAATGGGCATTTGGTTAGAGCAGCTCAGTGGTTGCTTCAGGTGCCTGTATCCCACATCGGAGTGCCTGGATTCAAGTCACAGCCTCCACTCTCATGCCAGCTTCCTGTTAATGAGCACCTTGGGAAGCAGCAGGTGCTGGTCTAAGTGGTTGGGTCTCTGCCACATATATGGGAGACATGACCGAGTTAACAGCTCCTAGTTTTGGACTGGCCCAATCTAGGCTGTTGTAGGCATTTAAGGAATAAACCAATAGACAGGAAATTGGTCAATCAATTTCTCTCTCTCAGCTCCCTTAGCCTTGTCCTATCTTTCAATAAACAAATAAAAGTTTTATTTTTTCTAATAGACAAGAATTTTCCCTCAAAGATTGAAAACGGGCTGGTATTATGGTGCAATTTGTTATGCCACTGCCTGTGACACACACACATTCCATAAAAGCACTGGTTTGAATCCCAGCTATTCCACTTGTGATCCTGCTGGTGTGCCTGGGAAAACAGTTGAGAATGGGCCCCTGCCACCAAGTGAGAAACCCGGATGGAGTTCCTGGCTCCTGCCTTCAGCTTGGCTCAACCCCAAGGAGTTGAGGAATGAACCAGAAGATTTCTCTCTTTCTGTCTCTCCTTTTCTGCGTGTCATTCTGCCTTTCAAAAAATAAATGTTTTAAAATGTTAACAGCAATACTAGAAACTATGCATTCTCTCTCACCATTCTTATTTAACATAGCCCTAGTTGTATTACTCACTAAAAAAGGCAAGAGAAAGAAATTAAGCACATTCTGTTTGGAAAGAAAAAAGAAAGAGGGGGATGAGAAAAACTGTCAATGTTTTTAGGCAACATAAGTTATAGAAAATCCCAAGCAATCCACAGAAAACTCCTAGAACTAGGAAATTGCCTCAAGCAAGTTACTGGATACAAGATGCACACACAAAACTGACTGCATTTCTACATACTGACAACAAGGAGGCGGGTGTCACAATGCTAATTTCAAATAACAATTGAACCTGTGCTCCATGAAGCCAGAAATTTCTATTGTTTTGTTCACTAATATAGCCCAAGTGCTTAGAGCCATGCCTGGCACATAGTTTTTTTTTTTTTTTCTTGAATGAATGAGCAAATGAATTAACAAAGTCTTACCTGGTGAGGAGGCTGTCTGTCCAATCCAGAAGATGGAGTCTCTTTAAGTGGGTGGGTAGTTCGCACAACAACCCGAGGAAAGGGGAAAGGGGGAGGTGATTGGCCTGAGATGGCAGAACCCTGGGCATGAAAAAGCCGATCTCTCAGCTGCTGAACTGCTGGCTGTAAGAATTATAATAAGAACTGTGTTGGGTAAATTAAAAAAACAAGCAAACACCCTCTTAGAAGCCTGGCCTCATTTGGCCAACTTGACTGACCCCCTGCGTTGTACACTAGATGACTTAAGGTTTTCACGTCCTAGCCAGACACTTGGATGCCACCTTTTTGATGTGCCTCCTGCTGAGAATGCCCTGGACTGCGGCGCATTCTCTTTGAAGGCGTAGCTCCACTGTTCAAACAACTGCTTGTCTTTTTTTGACTTCTTCAGGCAAAACTGGTCCTTGGTTAGAATCTCCCAGAGCTTGGGGTAAGCTTCTGTTCAGTCATTGTAAGTTATGGACATCTAATCTTCACCACTGCAACCCCACCCCACCCCTGGAGACTAGAAGCTGTTTGAAAGGCTAGCTCTGATTTATCCTAGGAGCTTCAGCATTAGCACAGTGGGAGCTCTCGGACAGTGTTAGATGGCTAAAACGGTTTGCTCTCCCTACACAGCCCCTGCTCACCTGAGCACAGTTGACTGGCAGGAAGTTCATGGCAGTAGCCAGGCTGCCCTGAGCTGCCAGCAGGTTGGCATACTGAGTGACCCTGCAGGTTGTGGCAGGGCCTGGGCTCACCCCAGCAGGACCCCGCACTAGCTCCAAGCTCCTGTTAAGGATCATCACCTTTTCCATCAGCTCCTGTGGGGACAAGAATGAGGGCGGTTAGTCTCTCCCAGGCAGCTCACCCAGGATATCTCACCAAGGTAGAGGTGAGGGCATCTGACCAGACCCAGTGAAGCCAGTGGGTGATGATACATGAGACAAGACAGGAAGGTCCTTGACCTCGCTGTACAAGCTGTGAGGACCGGACTTAAGTGGGCCCACCCAGGACCTTAGGCTCTCACATTTCTGTCTCCTCTTTTTCTTTCTTTCGGCTGATATAACATTAACTACAGATTCCACTAAATCAATTGTTTTATGTGTGACTTTTGCTTTCCCATGAATCTGTGTACCCCACCCTATACTATCTTCTCTGGTCACTCAGAGAGAGCACCTGGTACAATTTAGATTCACGTAACTTTTCACAGCAGCTACAAGAAGGACCACGCTCACATTTAACTCAAATGCGGACTGTACTTGTATCATCAGACCCTTAATGGGAAACAATTATGCAGCATGACAGTCAAGCAGATGTTGCTCAGCAACCAGGAGGGGAGGAGGTGATACCTTACTTCGTTGCAATGATCTAGACCTTGGGGGGCCCTTCAGCCCTCCCTAACATCTTAGCTCCACCCAGGTCCAAAACACTTGTCAGTGATATCCTGGCATAGTCCCACCTCTAGCCTCTCCTAAGGGCCCTGCAGAGGAGTACCTGCAGAGCCAGGGGGGATGAAGCCCTGTGGCACTTGGCCCAGCACTCCACCAGCCGCTCCACACTCCCTGAGCACACATAACAGAATCTGGCTTCAGAGGTCAGTGTCCTGTCACCCTCCTGCTCCATGCGACTTCCCAGCATGTCTACAGAGAGATGGAAACTTGGTTAATGGCATGCTTTCCCTGATGTTTCTTCCCCCTTCTCCTGTTTGTAAATAGGTGAAAGATCACAAGCCATGAGACAAGTAGCTACACTGGCTTTAAGACAACACAAGCTAACACTGCTCTAAAGTCCAGGGCAAAGTTCTTATATCAGAAGCAATAGGAAGAAGTAAAACAGGACACTAAATGACCTCTACTGTGGCCCTTGCCTTCTGGCTGGGCCAGACCTAGGCCCTGATAGCATGGCCTGGGCTTCTAGAAACTCAAGCTAGTCCTTTATCTGCTGTGTGTGGTGTCTGATGCTCCCATGCTGGAGTAAGGCCACACCATCCTGAAGCCACAGGCCCACTCACCACAGAGCTCAGAGAAGGTTTCTGGCCTGGAGTATGTCAGTAGCAAGACCAGTGCCTCTCTCCAGTTCTTCAGGCTACAGGCACACACCATGTCCTTCCAGCTCTTCCGGACAACACAGGCCAGAAGCTGTGATGAACACAGAGGGAAGGAAGCCTTGAGCTGTCCATCGAGCACTGGTGGCAGGATGCGCTAAGAAAGGCCACTCCTGAGTGGGTCTGATCACCAAGGAGGGGCTAGCAGTGAGTGGGGATGTTCAAAGTAGAAAGGCGGGCAGACACTCTGGAGACTGTCCTAAGGTGTGAGCATCCCGAGCAGAGTTCCAAGGGAACCCCCCCAGCCTACCCCCCACCTTCTCCAGCCTGAGGGGCGGTTACCGAGGTGATTCCACTTTTCTTCTGGGCCAGGTAGCGCTCCTGGGTCTGCTTCAGCAGCTCTGCACTCCCAGCCTGGGCCAGGATAATCGCATCAGCAAAGCGCTCTTCTTTCAGACACAATTCCACCGCGGGGCCCAGTTCCCCCAGCAGGATTGCCTGGCTCAGAAGCCCATCTGCGTCTGCAGGCACAGGCAGCCCATCAGCATCAGCTGGCACTCAGAACCAGAGCCCTGTACCCTCAGCACACCCTGTCCAACTCTACTTGCTCTGACTTAAACCCCGGCAGTAAAATTTGGTGGAGTGTGGCAGGGGCCCAGGCCTCAGAGTAACTCTCAAGAGACAGGACTCAAGACCAGGGAGGGGACTTGAGTGGCAGTACCATAGGTGTGCAGGGTGCTTGCTCAGCGTGTTCATGGCCCTTTCCACAAGAAGGCAGGACAGGAAAAATACCTTGGGAGAAGGTCTCCCACAGGAAAAACCCAGGCATAAACATCTACAGCCAGGAAGAACAAATCCACCCAGCCTTTGAGCTGGCAAGCAGGAAGAGAATGTCTCCTCAAGTCCAAGAACTCTGGGACCACCTACTCCCAAGGAGAACTTCTCTCTCTCCAGGTAAGGTACCTTCTGTGGTGGGGATCTCCCAGGGAGTCATACTCTGAAGGACCAGCTCATCAAAGAAGGCAGAGGAGGTAGAGCCTTCCACCATGGGAGGTTTGGCAGCCTGGTCAAGGAAGCACAGAGGTGGCTACTTACCGTTGAGCCCAGAAGACAGGTGGCTATGGTGGCTCTCTCTGTCAACTGTGTTGTCTGGCCCCTAATGGAAGACTAAAAGAATAGAGGCCAACCCAGCACAGTAGCCTACTGCCTGAAGTCCTTGCCTCACATGTGCCGGGATCCCATATGGGCACCTGTTCGTATCCTGGAGCTGGCTGCTCTACTTCCCATTCAGCTCCCTGCTTGTGGCCTGGGAAAGAAGCAGTCAAGGACAACCCAAAGCCTTAGGACCTTGCACCCATGTGGGAAACCCAGAAGAAGCTCCAGACTTCTGGCTTCAGATTGGCTCAGTTCTAGCCATTACAGCCACTTGAGGGGTGAATCAATGGACAGATCTTCCTCTCTGTCTCTCCTCCTCCATATATATATGAAGCTGTCACCTGCCAGCATCCCACATGGGTGACTGTTCATTTCTAATCCAGCTCTCTGCTAATGGCCTGGGAAATGCAGCAGAAGGTGACCCATCTGGGCCTCTGCCATTCACATGGAAAACCCACAAGAGGCTCCTGACCCAGACATGGCAGTTATGACCATTTGGGGAGTGAACCAGCAAAAGGAAGACCTCACTTTCAAATAAATAAACAAATAAATAAATCTCTTAAGGAAACAAATAGAATAACCAAGTAAGGAGCGGGAAGGGCCCTAGATCATATTTAAGACACAGCTCCTCTCCCAGATCGAAAGCCTGGGGGCTCTGTGTCTCACTGTGGTGCTAAGAGAGTAGGGAGTCTGAACACTTGTGCCAAAGCTGGGCACCACTGAGAGCAAAGCAAAGGGCCAGGAAGGGAAGATGCCCTAAGGCAGGTCTCCTGTGTCACTAGGGGAGAGGCTGAGCTCCTACTGTACCTTGGGGTAGAAGGCCTGCTTCCTGTTACTATCCAACTCCTCCTCTTTGGTCTGTGGGCTGTCACCTTGTGTCGAGTCACTCTTCAACCATGTGGTTACCTGCAGAGGGAAACCCATGAGCACTGCTCTTCCTGGTATCTGGCCAAGCTTGCATGATGGTCTCTTCCCACCTCTACACCCCACCAACTAGATCGCTGAGATTTCTGATCTATGTTCTTGGGCGATAGTCTAATGCTAGGAGATAAAATACTTATATATACATAATTAGCCCCTGATGGGATTCTATTGTTCTTTGCAGCAAGCTCATGTTTCTGATGTGGAAAACAGCTTACCTTCTTCTTAAGTTCATCTTTACTATATCCTAAAAGCTTTAAGAATTTTGCTCTGGAGTCCGGCTCTAAGGTTACCTAAGGAGCAAAGGGACACAGAGAAGTTTCCATTAAATGAGCATGCGTCCACCTCACCCTGCTCCAAGCTGCACATCTGTGCCTGTGTACCCTCAGTTATGGTACTTGGCACTACCAGAGGGGCCTTAGCAGGGCCGTGCAGCCTTCCCTGCTTCCCAGCTGCAGCCTGTTGTCAGGACGTGGGTGATGTTAACAAAGCCCCGTGCTCCTTTGGTCTGAGAATCTGATGTCCAGTTCATTTCCTAGCTCTGCTACCCTGGGTGCCTGATTAAGGTTAAAATGCCAGCCAGTTTTAAAGACACTGCCTGCGGCTGAAAAAGTACATCTGGACTGGGGCAGGTGAGCTATAAGGAAGAGATGCTAATTCCCCTCTCTAGGTATCCTGAATTGCACACTCTTTCTTGTAACTGAGCAGGTCCCCTGCAGACACTCTGGAAGTTAAGCAACTGAATGTGGTGCAATAGATATTGGCTCGTGTGGGCCAGTGACTACTAAGTCAGGGCCACTGACACCAACCCAGGGTACACCTCATCCTCACTGGTGTTTCTGGCAAGTTGTTGAAGATTCTGAACCTCTGTAGGCCCCATTCACAGGACAGGCCCTGCCTGATTGCCTGGGTACTGCTGCTGATGCCCTATGGCACCCATCCATATCCTTCTGAGAAAACTTCTGCCAAGCTCAGACCACAGGAATTGTGGATGGCAGAATGACTAGCTGAGAAGACCACTGGCAACCAGTTTCTCATTCAGCATCTCCCTCAGCTCAGGACCAAGTCTTTCGGAAGTCCCCTTAATCTACATTAGCTGATCGGGGCCCTTCATTTCTTGCACACTGAGTTATATATTCTGGCCCTGATTTTTCTTATGATCTGTCAAGGAGACCTTCTCATTCAACACTCTTCCCTCAAAAATGCTCATCCATGTTCACTTTCCTGAACCTACCCAAAGGACAGCTCTCACATGGCTTTTCTGTCAGACTGCCCTGTAGGCAATGCAGCCCCTTGGTTCAGCAGAAAGAAGGTGGAACCCCTGACTGCTCCTCCATATTCTCCCCTCACATCTGCTCATGTAGGACAGCTTGTGATGCCAAAGCCAATGTGAAATTAAACTGGAACATGAATTGAATCACCCATGCCTCCAAAGGGGAGTGGGTCCTGAAACCTGGGACCTATCACAAGGACTTGCCACTGGTTACTTGGAACAAACCCCAAGTCTGCTTATGGCAAAGTACCCTTTCAACAACCCTCTTCCCTTGCGTTATTCTTTTCTTCCTTTCTTCCCATTACCTTAGCTGCCCTTTGATACAGCCTGTGAGAGCCAATCCTCACACTGGCTCTGCCAGAGTATCTAGGACATCAGCAATGGCTGCAACAAAGAATACCTCTCTGTGGTCCCTTCTTCCCAGAACTCGGCACCAGTGGCCTCTGAGCCTCCAGTAAAGAGAGCAGACTGCATTCAGAGAGCAGGTGTAAAGGTGGAGAAGAGGACAGTGCCCTGTGTCACAGCACTGGAGCTGACAGGGGCTGTCGGGGGCTGACAGGGGCTGTCGGGGGCTGACGGGGGCTGACGGGGGCTGACGGGGGCTGACCGGGGCTGTTTCCAAGCATCCTGCCATCAGGGGTCCTACCTTCAGGAACTGCCAGAGCATCTTTTCATCTTGCAAGGAAGCTTGGTGGCTCTTGTTCTGACAGTAATCCAGGAGTTTCCCAGATCCCAGGGCCTCCTGTAGCTCTACCGACCGAGTCAGGAATTCCAGTTCTGTAGTGACTTGACTGATGAAGACAAGGCGGGGGCAAGGCTGTGGCACCTGATGGGCAGGGGTGCTGGGGAGGCCAAAGGTAACTAGCCTCCCCCCAAACTGGGAAGGAAAAACACCAAGAGTAAAAGTCATACATTCAGTCGAAAACTAACAGCAAATCAGGAGCACAGCAAGGCCAAGGCTATTTGGTTGATTCAAGGATAGGCAATCAATAATAAAGCTTCTGGGACAGGAAAGGAACTAAATAGCAAAATCGTCTCTGAATTTGTAGCCTAAAACTTTTTAAATTGGGCTGGTACCATGGCATAATAGGCTACACCGCACCAGCATCCCACATGGGTGCCAGCTCGACTCCTGCCTGCTCTGCTTCCTACCCAGCTCCCTGTTTGTGGCCTGATAAAGCAGCAGAGGATGGGACCTTGAGCCTCTGCATCCATGTGGGAGACCTGCAGGAAGCTCCTGGCTCCTGGCTTTGGATCATCTCAGCTCCAGCCATTGCAGTCACTTGGGGAGTGAGCCAGTGGATGGAAGGTCTCTGCCTTTTCTTCTCTCCATATCTCTGCTTTTCCAATGAAAATTTTAATAACCAGCTGTGACTGCCAGGGCTGGGCAAGGCTGAAGCCAAGAGCCAGGAATTCCATCCTAGTCTCTCACAAGGATGGCAGGGATCCAAGAATTTGGACTGCCTTCTGCTGCCTTCTCAGGTGAATTAGTAGAAACTGGATTGAAAAGGGAGGAACCAGAACCTGAACCAATACTCTTATATACCATAATTCTGTCCTGCTTAGCTTAAAACTTCACCATCAGCTTGAAACTAAATGTCACAGGACTCCTCTCCTTTTCACCTATCCCGGGATCACAATTACCTGACTACATCAGTATTATCATTTTCTTCATTTCCACATAGCAAAGCAACAACAGTCTTACCTCTTCTTGTCAACATGCTCATGCAACACACCCCCTCATGCTATTTTCAGTGTTCTTTACTGAAATAGTTTCTAGCCTTTGGTTTTCTTCCCCTCCTCAAATCTAAGCTTTAGATGACCACCCATGGTTTGTACCACCTAAATGCGCCTTGGCCTGTGCAAGGCCACAGGACAGAGCCTAGGCTCCTCTGACTGCAGTGCACAAAGCCCCACAAAGCCAGAGTGAAACCTGTCTGCCCCAGCACCTCTTCCTTCTCATCTCTAACTGCTCCACATCCCCAAAGCTTCTTTATCAGTAGCATCACCACCTGGGGCATCCTTCTTACCAAACTAGATACTTTATACAAATCAAAGTTCTTCGCTCCAGTAATTCTCAATTAAAACTACCTGGAGATAGATCCTGTGACACAGTGAGTAAAGCCACTGTGTGAGATGCTGGCATCTCACATAAGCACTAGTTCAAGTCCCAGATGTTCCATTTCCATTCCAGGTCCTTGCTAATGTACCTGGGAAAGCAAAAGACCCAAGTACTTGGACCCCTGCTACCCAAGTTCTCCTGCTTCAGCTTGGCCCAGATCTGGCTATTGTACCCATGTGGTGAATGAACAAGCAGTTGGAAGGCCTCTCTATTCCTCTGTGATTCTGCCTTTCAAATATATATATATTCTTCAAAAAAAGCACATGCCTACTTGAAGAGCTATCCACAGTCTGCAAGCACAACCCAGACAATAAAAATAATCTAGGAGAATTCAGATCAGCCATCAGTATTTTTAAATGCTTTGGGTTATTCCAGTGGGTAGCTGAGGTTGACAATTACTGCTTTAGTCTCTATTCGGTTTCCTTTGCCAAGGCTCCCTTTCTTGTGCCTTCCAAGGCACTTCCCCAGTCAGAGTTCTGACTTCCCTTGGCATCTACAATACAAAATCCAAACCACAAGCATGTGTTGAGCAAGTTGCTTTAACTTTTTATACATCTAATGCACGGCAGTTTTACAAAGTGCTTACCTCTATTGCTACTTGAGGTTCCTGTCCATTCACTAGCTTAAGCTGGGTGGGCATTGCTCTGCACACGTTCCAGGTAAGAGACTAACATTCTGAGAAGTTAAGCAACTTGCTCAAAATTACTCAGCTAACAATGACAGCCTTATGGTACAAAGTCAGGCCTCTTGACCTCAAAATTCTTCACATTATAACTCCCCCAGTTTTTTTTAACCTTACCACCTCTTGGCTGTGGCAGTCTTACCTCCCTGATAAAACTGCTGGAGCTAAAAACAAGAACCTCCACTTCTATACACCTAGGTATTAAATTCAAACCTAGTCCTTATTTTTTAAGATTTATTTTATTTTTATTTGAAATGCAGAGTTATAGAGAGAAGGAGAGCCAGATAAAGATAGTTCCACCCACCGGATCACTTCCGAAATGGCCACAGTGCCCAGAGCTGAGCTGATCCAAAGCCAGGATCCAGGAGCTTCTTCCTGATTTCTTACATGGGTGCAGGGACCCAAGGACTTGGGCCATCCTCCACTACTTTCCCAGGCCAAAAGCATGGAATTGGATCAGAAGTAGAGCAGCTGGCACTCCAACTAGTGCCCAAATGGGAAACTAGGCTGAAGCCTAGCCTACTATGCCATGGTACTGGCCCCTAGTATTCATTTTTTAAGGATTACTTATTTTTATTTATTTTAAAAGCAGAAAGCAGAGATAAAGAGCTAAATGGAAAGAGATCGTCCATCATTGGTTTATTCCCAAATGTCCATCACGGTCACAGCTAGCCAAGCTGTAACTGGAAGTCAGGAATTCCATCCAGGTGTTCAACAAGGGTGGCAGGACCCAAGGACCTGCACAAACAGACACATAAACATACACACACACTCAGCTTGACGCTGAACCCATGAGAGGCTGCGCATGTGCGCGCACACACACACACTTACAGCAAATGAAACGCCTGCTGGTCTTCGGATCCATTTTGGGGGCTTTTTCAGAGGCGATATCAGGGATGCTTGTGCCACCTGCTCAGGTATCTGCATTGGCATGAAAGGCTGGCCTTTGCTGAAGGAAGATGAGATCTAGTGAAGAGAGATGCCTGCATCACCAGCCTGCAGTGGTGACTCAGCAGGGAACTCCACTTAGAAACTCCACCTTGAAGACTCCTTGGAGAAGCCACTGTGACTGTGCAGGGTAGGATGTCCCCTTTTTGGAGCCTAGGGCTGATGCTGCTTGTGAGAGTGGGTCTCCCATGCAGTGGGTTCTTGGAAAGCCTACTACAGTCAATGTCTATGACAGAGTGTGACATGGAACAGGTCTCCAGGAGAGAGGAACAAAGTCCACCCTCCTGAAGCAGTGGTCCCAGCACGAAGCCAGTGCCCTTGAAGTACTCTAGGGAGCTTCCATTGCCACCAGCCAAGGGGAAGGCTGCGGCAGAAACTGACGTCCTCCCAGGGAAATGAGCCCTCCCACACCCAGGGCTCCGATCTCCCAGCCTCCACTTCTTCTCAGGGCATAATCAACTCTTCCCCACAAACGCAGCAGTCCCTTAGCTCCAGGAGTCTCATCTGAGCCCTTCCAACCTTGTCAGCCTGACTCATGTGCTGGGCTTCCCAGTTTCCTCCCATCACAGAGCACACACTGATCCAGCCATCGAGGGAAGCAGCCGAGAACACTGGAGGGAGCCGAGGGCACCACTGCACATCCAGACTCCAGCTGCCCTGGGTGGGCAGCCTGTACACCACCTGGTAAGAGGGAGCACAACCATGAGGTCCCATCCAGTCCAGGAACTACCGACATCAGTGAGACAAACCTATGGGACTCCTGCCCCATCATCTCCACCCCAGCCTAGGCACAGAAGGGCCAGCCCACCTCACTGCTCTCCAGGTTCCAGCACAAGATCTGGTTGTCCTTGGCGCTACTGAGTAGTAGCTCAGCATCAGCCTGACTCCACGACATTGATAGGATTCCCCTGAAAAGTGGAAGAAAGAACTAACACTGTGAAATGTCTGTAATGGTTAAATTTCCTCACATACCAAAGGCAAATCCGGCCATATAAAATGAGTGCTTTCACTTCAAAATGAGGAAAATGAGAGTTTTCGAAAACAACTTCCACACGATGGCAAAGCCAAAACCCCAGCCAAAGGGACTGTGCCCTGTGGTCCCCCTGGGTTACCGCAGGATGGCCTCTTTCCACTGAGCACAGAGTTAAAAGGATTCAGAAGGAGTTAGTATGAATCACACAAGAATCTGTCCCTACCACTGTGTGCAACCAAAGCTCTCTAGGAGGGCTAGGGCAGTATGGCCCCCTGGTTGGAAGCAAGGGCGTGTGGAGCTGCAGGTGCAGGCACCACCATAGGACAGACAGAAGCCAAGCTGCTTTGTTTCGGCAATCTTAGAAAAAGTAACTTTGTCATCTGGAAAAATGGACATGATTCTCAAATCAGGGCACAGGGACTCTCACAAGAAGACTAAACACTGATTCCAATACTCCTAATGACTACAGCCCCTTCCCATTTCTGGAAGTTAGCTGGGCCTCGGATTGTTCTCCACGACCTCAGGGTCTATAGGACTTCCTCCAGGGTAGGGCTGGTGTGAGGACTGGGTCACTGTGTATTCACCAGCAAGGATACGAAGCCAAAGAGAACGTTCTTGAGTTATCCCGGATCAGTTACCTCCACCATGCCCTCAAGGATGCTGATGGCTAAGAGATGCTACCTGCTGTGGCTCTCTAGCACCTTCAGGGGTGAGGAGGCAAAGCGCAGGTCCCACAGCTGAACCACGGGGAGACGGTCATCTTCTGAACACACCACTAACTGGGTGGCTATGTCTGGGTGCCAGGCTAGGCCTGAGCAGTGCATCTGCAAACAAAGTAGACCCCAACAGATGATGTCACCTAATGATTCTGGCCATGAACTTCCTCTGCCCAACAGAAATCAAACACTTTGAGATTTTTGTGAATCTTCTATGTGACTGACAATACCATGTCCATCTAACAAGCAATATTCATAAATAAGTAAAGAAAGGCAGAAGTTTCCACATCAGCTCTGTTTAAATTCCCTGAACCTCCACTCTATAAGAAAACTACTAAGGAGCTAAATCTACATGCCCACCAGCTGAAAGCATACACTTGGCCAGGGGGGAGACTGCTAACTGCTGGACAGAGAAGCCAGTCCAGACCCACGTTCTGGCCTGCAGCACTCACTCTGTTGCTGTGGTCACTGACTTTGATGATAGGTTCATTCTTCCTGAGATCCCACACGACTGCCTTGCCACTGGGGTGAGCAGAAGACAAAATGTGTTGGACTTGCCGGTTCCAAGAGAGAGCCCTGATGTCTTCTGGGGGCTGCTTGGGCAGAAAGGGGACAAGGGGAAAGAGCTTATCACCTCCTGGACCATGTAACATCTGCTACTCCATCGCTCCCAACAGCCCATAGTAGGTTCAAGAACAGATGGGGAGCTATCCAAACCAAGACCATCTCAGGAAGCTTAGGGTTGGCTGTGGGAAGTGTCTGGGGTACTGGCATAGAAGTGGGGAGGGGGTGTCTCTCTTCTCCTTCTGGCCTCCCTTTCCCTTCCCCTTTCCCCGCTGATCTCCACTCCCGCCTCCCCCCTTCGCTCCCCCTTCCTGCTCCACTGGAATAAACCTCCTAAGATACAAAAAAAGAAAAAAAAAGTGGGGAGGGAATGGCAAGCACACATTACTTTTATTTCTACCCCAAAATTCTCCTAAGAGAATAGAGTCAAGATTGAGAAACAGCCCCTCACCTAGCACAAAGACAGAGGGAGAGGAGGAGGAAGGCGAGGGAAGGAGGAAAACACAGATGCCCAAGACTCGCACTTTCAGGGCACAAGGTACCGTCACATTCGTATTTCACTTACCGTACCGTACTGTAAGCATAAGATAGAGCAGCCAGGAAGCAAAAGGATGGGCCCAGTTACAGACTGACAGACACTTAGAGACTGAGGGCGCACAAGATCCCCGCTACCCACCCTACAAAAAGGGGCCTTACTCTCGCTTCCTCTCCTCTGAGCCCGGGACCCTACCCAACACTGCCAAAGCTAAACTGCGATAACTAGCACTCCCTCCCCTTCTCTCAGCATCTCCTCATCCCCTGCCCTTTATCTCCTGTCTGGAAGCTCCTGGAACAGCTAAAGACTTCATTCCAGCCACTGCACACACTCCCACTCCCCCAGTCTCCAACACAGCTCTAGCTGGCTGCGGGCTGTCAGTCTGTGGAGCTTTATTGCCCTCCAGTGGTAAACTTTGAAATCTCTCATGCTCTAGTTGGCTCCATGACTGTAACACTACAGGGAAAAGGCAACTGCACACTCTTAATAAGCAGGGCCCTCAGCAGGGGTACAGAGCCTCCTCACCTGTGACTTGGATCCTGGCATCATTGGCACACTCATATTATTCAAATCCCAAATGAAGATTTCTGAATCACTGGCCCCGGAGGCCAGGAGGTTGCCCTGCACGAAGAAAAGAGGTATGGAGAACACACCGTGCCAGGAAGAACTGAGAAGAGAAAAGGGGCCAAAGATCCCCATCTGGGCCTATCTAAGGCTTCCCCTGTAACAACCTGGAACAGATCCAGAGTTACAGACCAGAGGCCCCACACAGAATGCTTCCATTCAGACCTTTGCTCCATGGCTTGGCCATGTCTGACCAACTGAAAGGTAGTACCTGGAAGGGATTAAAGTCGAGGGCTCTGACAGCCCCCGTGTGCTTCTGTCTCTGGGCAATCACAGGCTCTTTCCCCGAAGACAGGATGTGGGTCACATTGTACAGAGTAAGCATGCCATTGTCCCCGCCGCCTGCAATAACCCCGGAGCCTTCCAGAAGCCCATTGCCAAAGCTCCCCCAGATCAGCTTGTGAAACCTACAAAGAGGAGGAACTGGCATCAGCATCAATTTAGGTCTATGTCAGGCAGATGGCGGGCTCCTCCATCAGCCTCTGCCATTAGCAGACATCCCCACTCCAACCCAGGAGCAACCTGTCTCTTTCATTCCTCCAACCCTGCCCCCAACAGAAGGGCACTGCCTTCTGAACAACTATCCTACTTCTATTACAGGAAGTAATACTATTGCTGGGCTGGGTGGCGATATTCTGTTGTTTTGTTGTTGTTGTTTAATTAACATTGGAGTTACATCACCTTGTGATAATTACTTCAAACAGATGATGTCATCTAAGTCTCACAAACCCAATACTTGGGTAATATAGCTTACGTACTTACTGAACTGTCTCTTTGGACTAGGCACTACCTTCAATACATGTATTAGCTGATTCAATATTTAAAAACTCCATGAGGTGTTACTATTACTTCTATTTTCAACCGAGGAAATGGAAACCAAGAAGTTACACAACTTCTGTACACAGAGCTTGTTGTTTATTTGCATTTGACATCTAGGAAATGCAGAATCCATGTTTAAAGTCAGGGTCATCTTATTGCAGAGCTGAACTCCTCAAATTAGAAACTGCAGCCTCCTGCTGAGAGAAGCATCCTAAATTCTTCTGTGATGGATAAAAAGCAGATCTCAGGGCCTGGCATGATAGCGTAGTGGTTAAGTCCTCGCTTTGCACACCTGGGATCCCATATGGGCACTGGTTCTAATCCCGGTGGCCCTGCTTCACATCCAGCTCCCTGCTTATGGCCTGAGAAAGCAGTCTGGGATGGCCCAAAGCCTTGGGACCCTGTACCCACATGGGAAACTTGGAAGAAGCTCCTGGCTCCTGGCTTCGGATTGGCTCATCTCTGGCTGTTGCAGCCATTTGGGGAGTGAGTCATTGGATGGAAGATCTTCCTCTCTGTCTCTCCTCCTCTCTGTATATCTGACTTTGCAATAAAAAAATAAATCTTTTTTTAAAAAAGAAGCAGATCTAAAAGCCAACAACATGCCATCTCTTCTCCCCTCTCTGCTATGTTGCTGCAATGGGCCAGTCCTAAAGACATGAAGGCACAAAGGGATAATTGGTACACTTGGAAGGCATTTTTCCTGCTTTCTGAGGATGCTTTCATCAAGACACTGAGAGTCTTGCACAAAGAAGTTGCATAAAAGAAAAGTTTGCCCTGGATTTCCTACAGAAAAATTCTAGTCTCTGGCAAAGCCCCAAGGGAAGGCATGCAAAATCCAGCAAGCCTTTTAGGTGGCGAGTCTCCCACTCCACGGCTGCTAGCCAAGGACATTTTTACAGTCCTCCAGAGAGCCAGATTTCATATGAAATGATGGCTCAAGATCCCTAAATGCAATAAAATATTCCCAGATCCTAGAACAGTCAGCGAAGGAACTGAGTGGGGTAATTAGGCAGGAATTTGCCTGATCTGTTACCAGAGCAGTCATCCTATTGGAAGTGAAGGGTTGAGCCCTAGTTCAGACCAGGTCAGCGTGTGAAAGCACACAACAGAGCTATCACAAAGGTAGTCCTAAGACTACTGCTGGAAAGGCTGTTTTCTAAGGCTGCCTGGAAAATAGGAACTGACAGATTTAAAGAGAAGGCATAGGGAGATGGGAATCAAAGAAATTTTACTTATTTGTTTATTAATTTATTTGCAAGGGAAGAGATTGAGAGAGAGATAGACAAAGAATGATTGGGTCAGGCCAAAGCAGGAGCCCAGAGACGAATTTAGGTCTCCTTCGAGGGGGGCATGTACTCAAGCACTTGAGTCATCACTGCTACTTCTAGGGTACGCATTCGTAAGAAGCTAGAATTTGGGAGCAAAGCCAGGCACTTGGATGTGGTGTGCAGCCATCCACAGTGGGTATCTTACCCACTGTATCAAACATGCTAAACACTCATGAAAATATAGGCTGACTTTTCTACTGAGGAAGTTTCCAGATCAAGGATGACAATGCAGAGAACATATAGCATCACTGAGTGATGGGTGCTACCAAAATAAACAGGTTCTTAGACTGTAATCAGACCCTTGTGAAACAGCATCCCTGGAGACAGGTCCCCGAGTGGTTCCAACAAGCAGCCAGGGCTGAGAATCCCTACAGTAGGGAGAGGCCCTGTGCCAGCTGCAAATAGCAGGGGAAGACCCTGAGTTTCATAAAGACAGAATTCTGCTTCTAGAAAAACGAAAAGAGATGAGGCTGAAAAGAAAAAACTGAGGCCTGTGATACCAGGACAGGATACTGGCTAAGCTCGCATGAGACCAAGCCTTAGCACCTTAACACTATTGTACAAATTCTTGCTTCCATCATATACTCACTTGGTTTTAGAGGTTCTGCTTTTATTTTCTTAGTAAGGTTCTCAATATTTACATTCGTGAACTAAGATGAAAAAGTTTTCCCACATCCTGGCCAAAATCCTTAGGGCAATTCAAGCCTCCTTAAAAGTCAGAGCGAGCAATGAAGACATTATCCAAGCTGGAGAACAAAGACTGTGGGAGCAGAACAATGGCCATGTGCGAAGTAAGCCTCTTTTCTGAACCCCATTAAACATCACGCTACTCTACGCCTACTATGCATCCTGAATTTACACTGGAGAAAGTAGGGCTGGGCATGTTGAATGATGTACCGAGAGAACGATAATCATCATAGCAAGAATATGAACCAGTTCTGATCGACAACAAAGCTGATGCTCTCTATTCAATAATGCTGATGCCTCTGACATCAACAAAATGCAGGGATTCAGAACAGGGAAATTAAGGAAAGTACCCCAAATAATATTTTTCTAGCATGGTATTGTCCCTTATATAAGCACCTGAGGGGAATCACAATGCTAAAGACCAAGAATTGAGATAAAGGTAGAATGAGGAAAGATCACACACTTTCTCCATTTTACCAGATGGAACCTGCAGAAGCGGTGACGCCACTCAGGGTGCATCAGGGTAGGCAGGTGGGATGCGGCAGATCACACTGACCTCATCCAGCCACAGCTGCTGGATCCTTAGTCCATGAAACAAACCACGCATTACTCTTGCAGAGATCTTTCTTCTTGAATCTAACGGTCCAGACGCCACTTGCTTTGGTGCATGTGCTAAGCCGTACAGATTCTGATTGCATCCAGAAGCATCTACCGACAGCGGCAGGCTCTCCCCTACCTACACATATATCAGCGCTTCAGAATATTCTTTCAGGGAGATTTCCCAGGCAGATAATATCCCTCAAGGATTAAGTGAAAGGGGAGCCTCAGAACCCAAATTCAGCTAACACATGGGCTCAGTAAAAAGGGCAAGCAGAGGAAGGGTGAAGATTTTTGAAAAGTATATGTTTACTAATGATGAAGAGAGTTAAAAAAAAAATAAAAGAAAAGGAAAAACAAAGAATGCAGGGAAGGAGAGACTGAACATCAGATCTGAATTCAAGTCTTGGCAGGTCTAAAGATTTGCTTGTAAGTAATTTTGTATAAACTTTTTAATATACATAACTGAAGAAATCAAAGACAACTGATTTATTTTGTCCAAAGCCACACAGCTATATTAGTATCATAGTCAAGGCTACAACAGAACTGTGCTTCCAGCTACATGGTACACAAGTTGACACGGAAAAGAAAGTAGAAATGAAAGTATAAAACCAAAGATGGACTCCCAAAGAAACTGTTGAACATATCTATCCCACAGGATACTGGACTGTCTGACATTGTCTGTACCAACAGTGTCAGGGAACCTTAAATAACAGACTGATGGACTTATGACTGCTTATGAAGGACTAGGCCATTGTAATAATATGGGGAATATCAGTCAGGGGTGGGAATTTGGAGAGGGGAAAGGGAAATCCCAGAATTATTTAAATTCAAAATTAAAATAAATAAAAATTTTTAAAAGAAAGTATAAAGGCAAGGATAAATGCTTCTATATCTCCCCAGTCATCTTGGTCAAGAGTGTGTGATCTTGACTTTTGAGTAGGTGACCTTACCCAAACTGGAACAAAAATGAGTGAGGAAACAAGAAAAGATGCTTTCTTCAGAAAGGCCTCAGCAGGACTGTATCAACAGTAATCTCTCACAGGTCCTTGCAAATGAGAATCAATCTCTGTCACAGTTACAGAGAAAAGGAGAAGCAGAAATGAAATAGTACCCATAGAGTTTACTGCACTGTTTATTTTGGTTACTGGCCCAAAGCCCTGAATGCTGGAGCAGTGGTTGGAAATGAAGTTCATGATTCTCAAGTTCAGAATTTACATACCAAAGTGTCCCTCCAGCCTCGTTGGCTGCACAACAGACAGCCCACCACTCCCTCCACCCCACCCCAAAAAGCTCTTAAGGCGCAAAGACTAACTGAAGACTGGCTGGAACAGCCAAAGTTTTGAAGTGTTAGATGGAAGGTTCACTTTGGCAACCCAGAACTTTGTCATAACATTCATTCACTCAACAAATATTTATTAAATATAGAAGTAGGCACTGCTATAGCTACTGCTAAGGACAAGGTGAGCAGTGAATAAAACAGAAAAATCTCAGCCTGCATGAATCTTAGAATTCAGTTCCAAGATTTCTCAAATAACTATATTGCCTCTTTCTTAGGAACGCTCAGGTGTAAGGAGCCACTGCTGTGCTTAAGGCATTGCTCGGCTTGTTGGAAGGGCCCTTGCCCACTGCTCACTTCTCTTGAATCTTAGAATTCAGTTCCAAGATTTCTTAAATAACTATACTGCCTCTTTCTTAGGAACGCTCAGGTGTAAGGAGCCACTGCTGTGCTTAAGGCATTGCTCGGCTTGTTGGAAGGGCCCTTGCCCACTGCTCACTTCTCTTATCTCCAGGAGAACAAACAAGCTTGATAGCTCACCCTCTTTCAGAAGCCCTTTCTGAAATACTTGCTTAGGGAATAGGAATATCTCCCAATTATTGCTAAATGGCCCAGTGCCTATTCTTCCAATGTTGCAAGCCTTAGATATATAAAGGAATGTAAAACACTGTAAAATAAGAGATAGCTTCACATAGTGTTATTAAAATTCAGGAAAGGATGAATAATAACTAACCTCTCAGGATTAGATTAAACCATGAAAAGAAAGAAAAGGGTACTTAACCTAAATATTTTAAAATTCTGATTTGAGAGGCAGAAAGAGAAGGCGGGGGGAGAGAGAGAGAAAGTGTTCTCATTAATGGATTCAATTTCTTAATGTCTGCCAAGAACCAGGAACTCAATCCAGGTCTCCCACATGGGTGGCAGGAATCCAATCTCTTGAGCCATCACTGTTCCCTCTTGGGGAAGAAGTTGGAGTCAGGAGATGTATCTTAAACCCACATTCTAGAATATAAGATGTGATTCTTAACCAGTATCTTAACTATTAGACTAAATGCTCACTCCTTTCTGCCTAAATGATTCCATTCATTTCTCAGAGGAACCAAGGAATGTACAAAGGGTTTATCAATCATCAGATGGAATATTGCCTTCTAGGCCAATAATCTCTAAGCAGAGTAGACAATTCATGGCATACCAGAAAAAAAGACATATATTTAATGGAAAATGCTGGAAATCACACTATATCAATACTATAATAACATACTGATATTATGCACATAAAATATGCATACGGTAATTATATATTATATACATAACTTTCACTTTTTCTCTGATAGTATGAAAGTGTGGAGGTTAAGATGTTGCATCCCCAATGGAGTATCTAGATTTGATACTCAGTTCTGGTTCCTGACTTCAGATTCTTGCTAATACAGACCAGGGGAGGCAGTGGTGATAGTTCAAGTAACTGGGCTTATACCAGCCTTTGGGAGCCCTGAACGGAGTTTCTACCTGCTGGCTTTGGCTCGGCCCAGTCCCAGCTCTCACAGAAATTTGGGAAGTGAACTAGAAGGTGGGAATGTTCTCATTCTCTCTTTGTGTTTCTCAAATTTTTGAAAAGTGAAGACCATTGCTTCAAACTATAAGCCCTCACCTGTACACACCTTTAAAAGACAGGGGTATAATGGAATGAATGTGACCTTTGAATTTAGATAGGCATGACTGGAATCCTAGCCTCTCAGTATTGCCATCTTCCCTGCATAAATTGAAAGGAATTGTGTCTATCTCTTAGGCTTATCTTGATGAGTGAATAAAAGGACAGAGTGCATAACACAGTGTCTGGCAGGCATACACGGGCTCACTGAACGAGAGTAACTAGCTTAGCAAGGCCTACAATGTTTCCCTATATCCTTTTCTGGCAAAAGAAAGAATGAGTCAGCCTCTGCTACATCAGCCCTGAAAGTCAGGAATCCCCACCCACCAGAATTAGTCAGTGCCTGAGAGCCATGAGGAGAGGACCATTTGCTCTCCTGGTGGGCAGAGAAGAGAGATCTTGTGTAAGATTATATCTTCATAAGAGCCAAGGGAGGAAGGAGCCCTCCTCTCCGGGTCCAGGGAGAGCTCAGGCCCACATGGGTCTAGACTTGTGAGCAACATCTTGATCACATGTGCTGGGACTGAAGCAGTTACTGCTACTGATCAGAAAGATGCAGTAGTTGTTTTCAGAATTCTCTTGCAAGATAAGCCCACAGTCAACTTCTCTCCAACTTGGAGGAGCTTTCTCCACTCACTTGTCTCCATGTGACCTCTGAGAGGCACATACTACTCCCAGGGTTTCTCATCAGGACCTGCCTCACACACCCATTAGCAATCTAGATGTAGTACCTGCTTGAGCCAGAAAGGACTCCCTTGCATTTCAATTCCAGAGAAGGGTCCCTGAAATCAACCTCAAAGATTTGCAGTGTACCACTTGTGTTAAAGGAGGCATCTAGCTGCTGGGCAGATGTTCCTAGGCCAAAAAGAAATAAGAATCGACTTAGGGTATAAATTGCTTAGAGAGTGGAGAGGAGCAAAACAAGAGGGTTGGGTAAATCTTTTTTTTTTTTTTTTTGTGGGGGAGGTGGTAAATCTTTTCACAAAGAGCAGCTCAAAGAGAGAGCAATAAGGCATGGCATGTCTACCTTGAGCCACGGTCCAAGGCTTTCTCCAGGTACCCAAACATTCAACATTCCCTTACTCATGCTGTGAGCCACCCCCACCCTCCCAAGATTCAAAAGCTTTCTCAGATACTCAATTCAGGATTTAGATACTAAGTTTCCCATTCACTTATGTATGTCCAGTGGATCCAAGTGCACAGAATATTACCTGTTGCCAGACACACAGGGTACTGATTGGCTGGGCTCCAAGCTTGCACAGCTGGTTGCTCAAGTTTCTTCAGCTTCATGGTTGGTCCTGCAAGTGGCAGAAAACTGACATGGCCAGTGGCCCATTCAGAATAGAAATAGCAAGTTCTTGGCTAGACCCAGGGAGCATCTGGGGACAGTAGATCTTGTTTCTGTCTCCATGAGATGGAATATTTCAGGGCAACACAGGACAACAGACACGGACAAGTCCACGTGCAGATTTTATGGGTTATGTTTGCCCAGTTACCTTAAGTTTTATGCTTTAAATCCCAAAAGGTATTTAACCCCCCAGGTTGCCACAATGATAATCAAAGGTGATAATCACTAAACCAGGTAGTCTCAGTGATTTTGTCCATTTCTTTGGATTTAAAAATAAACTTGCTGATCACTCCCAAATCCGTATCCCCAACAGAAATCTCTATCCTGAGCCCCAAATTCTTACACACAACTATTAATTACTGCTGTTTCCACTTGACGTGCTAGTCTGTCTACATTGGAACTCTGTTGTACCACTTCATCCCTACACATTTTTCTGTTCCGTTTTTAACCCAGAAACCTGAAAATCACCCTCGATCCCTCTTTCTCCCTTACTCCTTTCTAACTAGTCATTTACCTCCACAAATATCTTTATTTTTCCCTGCCTCCACTGATAGCTGTCCATCTGAAGATGCTGTCCTCTCTCAGTTTACTACCACATCTTACAAGCAGCTGTCTGCTTGCTCCTCACTTGGGCCAGCCCCCAAGCCACTCTCCACATAGCAGCAGGAATGAACTTCGAAATATTTGTAAAAATTTGATTTTTGCAACCTATGCTTTAAATCTTCCAGTGATTTTGATCACATTCAGAATAAAATCCAAATTCCAGCTTATAGCCTATCACTTCAACCTTATCTCACTGATTTTCCCCTTACTCACCATTTTTCATTTCTTGACTTGTTCCTACCTAAAGCCTTCGCAAATTCTGTTCCCTATACTGACTACTTTTCCCTTCCCTCTCTTCATGACTGGCATCTTGTCATTGGGTCAGCTTCTTAACCTCTCCAGAGAATTGAATCACTCAATCAAAAACAGCATTGGTTTTCTTTTTCCTGGTGATTTACAATTACACATTCATTGATTTTTACAGTGCTGGTCTCTTTCACTGGTATATAGGCTCGATGAGAGCCAGCACGGTGTCTGCCTTGCTCACCATGCTGTAAGTAGATCCCAAACCAATCATTAGTCCCCATTAAGGAATCGATAAGCACTTGTTGAGTGACTGTAAATATCCACTTTAATATATGGTTTTCAATCTAGTCCTAATACGTATTCAAAGTCCCCTCCTCAAAGGCTAGCAAATAAAGTTTGTTTTTTTTTTTTTTTAAATTACTCAACTTCAGGGAGGAAACCTGAGACCTACTATTACCTACCTGATTAAACTAGTCAGGTTGGTCTTGGCAAGATGTCCAGCGGACCCATTTGAAGTCAACAGAGGCACATCATAAGACTCACCAGTGCCACCTGCTGGTCACAGTCATTCTCATGTTTCTGGGGAAATACTAATAAAAATGGGAGCTGAGATTAGCAAAGTGCCTTTGACGTGTACATCATTCTCTCAATGGCTCTGTGAACTAGGTACTTTTGCAGAGCAGATAGCTCGCCAGGCTGGTATGTGAATCCCAGTTGGCTTCAAGAACCTGTACGTTTTAACCATAACCCCCCAAAATAGTTTATATTGCTGACAGTCTAGGAACGGGAAACATGTGCTCTTAATTCACTTTGTTCGAAGGCACTTGTTCACAAAGGGGGGTACCTATGCGGTCAGAAAGGCCAAGGCAGTGATGGGGTGCAATGCAGCTGGGCGGGCGCAGGAGGCGGGGACCGACCAGCAGACAAGAGGGCCACAATCAGGCGTGCAGAGGGCGCCGGCCACCCCTCCGGCCAGTCCCTGAAAGGACAGGCAGCACAGCCCTCAGCCCCGCGGAGGGGCGGCGCGCCAGAGACCCTAACCACAGCCCCTCCCGCCAGAGCAGCACACAGGACCCAGGACGAGTGGGAAGGGGTCCAGTCCCAGGACTGATGGAGCGGAGGTCCTCGAACGGCGCTCTGCCCCGAGCCTCGCGGGCGAACAGGACCCGCATGCGGGGGCAGGCGCTGCCCAGGTTTCCTCAGTGGACGAGCCCCCGCCGCGCTCACTTCAGGGTCTCTTCTGCGGGGTTGGCGGGACCCCAGGCCAGCCGGAAAAACCAACCTGCGCGGAGGGGCCAGGTCAGAGGTCAGGCAGGGCAGCCAGGGCTGATCCTCTCGGCCGGCGCTCGGGACGGCGGCTCCGGAGGACCAAAAGTAGTCCTGGTCCAGCCGGGCATTGCGGTCCACCGGTTCCTCAGGAGCAGGGCCGGTAACCCGGGCGGACTCAGACAAAATGAGGAGGATCACGGCTTTTCACTCAGTCTTCCCCACCTGCTCTGATTGGTAGGTCAGATCCTGCACTAGTTAAGTTCTGGTCTGTTCAACTCGAGCCAGACTCCCAGGGTAGCCTCTGAGAAAGGAAAATTACTAAGCCAACTCATTATCTACTTACTGAAGCGGGAGAACAGCAGACTTTAGCCCCAGGAGCTCTCAGTGGAATCCACTTAGTTGAAAAAGGTAAAGAAGCAATCGAGGCCGTATAGGAATGGCAGTGAGTGGTTCACGGTAGCTCAGCAATAACCGGTGCCCGGGAGATGCTGCATGGATTAAAGGCCAGGAAGTGTGTGGAGGGCATTTACAGCCCGGGGAGGTTTCTGGAACTCGAGATGGGTAGGATTCCTGGAAGCTACGCGAGCTATCAGCGGCCAAGGATGCAAGGGGCTTAACTGGTAAATAAGGTGGTGCCCGGCATCTCATTCCTCGAATGAAAGAGGCTGTGGGCTGGGAAGAAGCACATTGTTAAATACCAGCTCATCTCTACGCTAACTAGGAGCCGCTGAGAATTAAGAGGAGGGTTGCAATCAGAGGTGATGAAAAGCCTGCGTTAATACAGCGGTCATGATTGGAAGAGAGCGCGAGAGGCTCAGGACTGACAACCCTAAGGAGTCAAGATTGTTGCGATTTTACAACCTGGGAGACCAGAAAGAAACGGGATGCTCTTTAGAGCTAAAGAATGTAAGCAGGTGGAGAATCACATTTATGTTCAGGGAGTTGTTACACACATAGCCACAAAATTTCTGTGGGCAGCTTAAGATTTTTTAGTTGACCTAAGTTGATCCAAAACTTACTGAATGCTTGAATTCGGTATTCTTGCCTGGTAACACCCACAAAGGAGGGAGCTAGCGATTGTAGAGTTCCTTTTCACGTGGCCTTGGGACTCAAGAAGAAACACAGGGAACAATTTTAAGGAACTGTGTTTGGTCCACTTTATACTTATTTCTTGAACTTAGCACTAGACAAGACTTAAGTTCACAGTGGACCTTGGGCAACACCTAGCATCAGAAAATGCAGTGTTGGGCCCAGTGCAGTACCTTTCTGGGTAAAGCCCTTGCCTTGCATGTGCTGGGATCCCATATGGGTGCCAGTTTTAATCCTGGCTGCTCCTGCTTCCCATCCAGCCCCCTGCCTATTGCCTGGGAAAGCAGTACAGAACAACCCAAAGCCTTGGGACACCTGCACCCACGTGGAGGAAATTCCTTGCTTCGGATTGGTTCAGCTTCAAGCTGTTGCCACCACTTGGGGAGTGAACCAACAGACAGATATCTTTCTCACTGTATCTCCTTCTCTGTGTATCTGCCTTTCCAATAAAAATAAATCTTAAAAAAAGAATGAAGTGTTACCGGTGAAAACTCCAATAAATTTGAACTAAGTAGCACATGAGTAAACAAAAGTGCTTTTACCTCAACTCAGACATCTCTCAGGAATTCTTTGGGCTGGCACTTGGGGCAGTGGCTTAATCGCCTCCTGCAACACTCACACCCTGTATCAGGGCACCTGGTTAGAGTCCTGCTACCCCAATCCAGCCACCTGCAAACAGGCATCCTGGGAGGGAGCAGATGATGGCTCAAGTGATTGAGTCCCTGGCATTCACGTGGGAGACCCAGATGGAATCCCAGACTCGGCTTCAGCCTGGTGCATCCCTGGTTATAGAGGCGTTTCGGGAGTGAACCAGAAGGTAGGTCTCTTCAAATAAAATGGAAAATAAAAATCTGCAAGAAGTCCATTCACCTTGTTTTATAACTGCTAGTCTCCTAGGTAACTACCTGAAGGCAGTTATTTTGTCTTCTCCACTTTTCTATCCCTAAAGACCAGTGTGTCAATACATTTTAGACACAGATATTTGTTAAATGCACATCAAATGCTATAAAGGACAGAGAATTAAAACATAAAAAGCCAATGGGGGCCTGCAAAGTGGCAAATCAGAATAAGCACCTACTCCCTCATCTCACAAAGGCTGCTCCCACAGTAACAGGGCCCTCTACCTAACAGGAACAGACATGCTTCCACAGCTCACACTGAACTTGGCCTTTTTAAGAACACGTCCCTGAAGGAACACAAAGACTTCAGGCTGGTTCACTCAAAAACAAATGCAATGAGACTCAAAAAACATGGGCTTCCTCTTCCTAGTGCTGTGAAAGGAGTCTGGGAAATAAAGCACTAGGACTACAGATGGGGTCAGTAGTCATTGCTGAATACTGTCATCTCATTAAGAATCCATGACTCAGGTGCTGCTTTGGAATAGTGCACATAAAGAATTTTTTAGAGATCAAAGGCAAATATAGTCTAGGCTAAAGACACTACCTATCCTATTACGTTCACAAAAGAGAATACGGCATTTTTTTTTAAATTAATCACTTTTAAAAACTTTTTTTAAACAGGAAATAAACCTTATTTCAACTTGGGAGTTGGGAACATTTCTTCCTTCTTCCCTCACCCTGTAAATGGGAAGTTACCCTTACCACCTGCTATGCAAATGAACCCTTAACAACCTCAACAGTCCCAGTGAGATGAACAGACTGACATCTTCTGGAGCTAATAACCCCTCCTCCACCCCCTTCCAATTTCCACACAGGAAAACAGGGAGGAGGGCAGGCAGTGGGCAGCAAATAAAAGGAAAAGGCTGCGGCTCCTCACAGCAGTGACTATTCCTGGGGAAATGAGGCACACACACCACAGCATTCAGTTTTATTAGGGATTCCATTAAGATTCAATCTCTAAGAATGAGGGAGTCCTAGTTAGAGGGCACAAACGCCCACGACGCCACCTCAGATCTCATAGTGAGTCACGGGCTCGGGCTCTTTGCTGGGATCGCCGCCTCGTTCCAGGTACAGATTATTGTAAGGATACTGCTTCGGCCCCTGCAGAAAAAAAAAAACACCCAGGTCAGTGAGAATACACAGCCAGCAACACGCAGCTGCGCCCCTCTTCGAGCAAAGCATCATGTGTGGCCAATGGGCACACAGCAGCCCCTGGTCAGCCCCAGCCAGGTTAAACAGCACAAACCACACTCCTCTTCCATGCTCACCCCAGGGCGGAGAGAAACCCGCATTTTAAGAGCAGTGGTGCCTGTAACTGTGAGAAAGGGAAAGGGTGAAAGGGGGGACGGGGAGGAGGGAAATATAGAGGAGAAAGAGAGCCCCAGCTTTCTAAATGAGAAGACGCATCCATCCATCCCACTCTCTCTCGGGGTCGAGACAGACTCAATCTCCTTTAAGTCACTCAGCCTCTAATGGTTTCCCCACTAAAGTGGCCTAGCAAATGAGGCGTGCAGGAGCAGCGGTGGGGGAAGCACCGAGGAGACATGGCTGGGACGTGCTTTAGGGGCTGCTGGCTTTACCAACAAACAGCTGTCAGAGAACACAGCTCAAGGGGAGGAGGAGAGGGTGATGTGCTTACAGAACTGAAAAATGGAAGAGCCACACTGGGTTTCCTGCTCTCCTGAAGTGAAGTTAGTGCTCACCCCAGCCCTCCGTGTACTCTCCAGCATAGAGCCCCTGGGGCTCGGCAGGAAGGCTCGTGTCAGTGCACACAGGCATGCCAGCTACCTTCAGGACATTGATTATCTCTGCAAAGGTAGCACCAGGCAGCCAACTGCAAACACAGCAGCCGCCTCGCTTCTGTTCCTCTCCTTCCAATCCATCCTACAGATGACTTCCAGATCAATCTTCCTAAGAGCCCAGCCTTTACTATGTCACACTCCTGTTTAAAAACCCAAAATGGCTCCTTGCTGCCTACAGGCTGGCCAAGTCAGCACTGTATTCCCAGCCACAAGCAGTCTGCACATGCACACAGTAAGGGCTCCATAAATATTCGGTGAATGAATGCACTACTGCAAATCTCTTAGTGTGCAACAAAAGCCTCTTGGCCTGATCAACTCACCCCATGGTATGTTTTTACCACTGTGATCTAATTGCACGTCAATTTCCTTCCTTGTTTAAAAAACAATGATAACAACAAACACAAAACACTGACCCCTTCCCTAACTTGTACTCCCCCTCACTTGGGACTGGAGGGTGGTATCAGGTAGCCACTACCCCTTCCGGCTCACAAGCAGCCGGGAAAAGGGGAAGGGTGCACCCCACTCCAGACACAGGATTAAAGCAGCAACGTGTCTCTCATCTTTCCCTTCTTTGCCCATTCTACTCCTGAATGAGTTTCTGCGATTTCTTCACCTTTTAAATAAACTTGACAAAAACAAAACAAAAACACTGATTCTAGAACCTACTGTGGAGCTACTGAATTAGGATCCCCAGGAAATGAGGATTCCAGAATCTCATTTTTTTTTCTAGCGGCTCTCAGAATAAGGCAGCTGGTCTCCCAGGGTTATTTCATAAACCACTTTCACTCCAACTAATTGACCCTTCTTTTCCCTGCTTTTTTTTTTTCTCTCTCTCTCCCCCAAATGTTTTCTCCAATTTCCTGCCAACATCCAAATTCATTAAAAAAAAAATTTATTTACTTATTTATTTGGAATTCAGAATTACACATAGAGAGGAGAGACAAAACTAGATCTTCCATTGGCTGGTTCACCCCCAAATGGCCGCAATAGCCAGGGCCCAGGCCAGGCCGAAGCCAAAATCCTGGAACTTCTTCCAGGTCTCCTATTGCAGGTGCAGGGCCTGAGCACTTAGGCTGTCCTCTGCTGCTTTACCAGGTCATTAGTGGGGAGCTGGATTGGAAGTGGAGCTGCCAAATCTAGAACAGGCACCCATGAGATGCTGGTATCATAAGCAGTAGTTTTACCTGATACAAAACACCATTGCCCCAAATGTAGCAGGTGGTGTAGCCCCTCTCGATAATATCTTGTCCCACTTTGTACACACATTTGCTGTAAACATGGAAGCATCCTACCAGATCCCCACATGCTCAAATGGTGTTCAGTATCTCATTTATCTATCTTCTTAATTCAAAGCTGGAAAATTGTGGTTTTTTTAAAAAATGTATTTATTGGAAAGTCAGATATACAAAGAGGAGGCGAGACAGAGAGGAAGATCTTCCATCCAATGATTCACTCCCCAAGTGACCGCAATGGCTGATGCTATGCCGATCCAAAGCCAGGATCCAGGAACCTCTTCCGGGTCTCCCACATGGGTGCAGGGTTCCAAGGCTTTGGGCCGACCTGGACTGCTTTTCCAGGCCACAAGCAGGGAGCTGGATGGGAAGTGGAGCTGCTGGGATTAGAACCAGCATTCATATGGGATCCTGGTGTTTAAGGCGAGGACTTTAGCTGCTAGGCCACGCCACCCGGCCCGGAAAATTGTGTTTTCAAAACCCAAAGCTAGAGAACATATTTTCTATGTTCTTTACATTTACCAAATTTAACTATGCTTTTAGTAGATATTTGATTGCTTCTGGTACCATACTGAAAGTGACTTTCATGTCCGTTTTAGCTTGAAATTGACTGCACCTTGCAAGATTACTTGCTCCAACGCAATTGATAAGCACAATGCCCAAAGGGCACTCTGCAGACCTGATGACTCATTCCTCACCAAATCCTGACTCTTAAAATGTGGCCTGTCAGACAAGAGCACTCCGTGCTTGTGCCATACCAATAGGCAGAGCCCTCCTATCTCCTAAGACTTCAGGAAGACAAGTTTGGTATCAGCTGGATCCCTACTCCACAGACTTCACTCACTCAAAATCTGGGGCTATGGGACCAGAGTTGTGGTGTAATGTGGGTAAAGCTGCCCTGTGGTACCAGCATCCCATATGGGTACAGATTCTAGTCCTGACTACTCCATTTCCAATCCAGCTCCTTGCAAATGTGCCCAGGAAAGCAGTGGAAGATGCCCTGGGTCCTTGGGTTCCTGCACTTATTTGGGAGACCCAAAAGAAACTTTTGACTTCAGCCATCATAGCCATTTGGGGAGTGAACCAGTGGATGAAAGCTCTTTCCATCCCTCTTTCTCTGCAACTCTGCCTTTCAAATAAATCTTAAAAAAAAAAAAAAAAAAGACCTTGCATATGCCAGGATCCCATATGGATGCCTGTTCTAATCCCAGCGGCCCCACTTCCCATCCAGCTTTCTGCTTGTGGCCTGGGAACGCAGTGGAGGATGGCCCAGGGCCTTGGGACCCTGCACCAACATGGGTGACTCAGAAGAGGCTCTGGACTCCTGGCTTCTGATTGGCTCAGCTCCGGCCAATACAGCCACTTGGGGAGTGAATCAGTGCACAGAAGATCTTCCTCTGTCTCTCCTCCTGGTTTTCCAATTTAAAAAAAAAAAAAAGGGAGGCAGGGGGGTAGGGGCAGACCCTGCGCAAACGTACCCATGAGAACACTTGTCAGGTACTTACCACAGGCTGGTAGGAAGGGTAAGTATCTCCCAACCAGAACATGAAAACCATGAAGGCCACAAAACCGAAGAGATGCTTACACATGGCGTCCCAAGGAACAGGTGTGGGGGAGGTGTCCACACGGTTCCTGACATACATGTCTAGGTTCCAGTGGATCTACGGTAGAAAAGCAGATAACCATCACATACAGTTAAGACACAGCCCACAGTGACCCAAGCCTGACACAAGGCTCAACAGAGCATTCTGCTACCCAGAACAGGCTGCAAGCCAGACACACCGGCCCACGGGTCCTAGTCTTGGTCCAGCTTCTGCTGACCCAACAATCATGGAAATATACAACTTCCATATTACAGACATTTCACTTTCCCCAGAAGTCCCGTTCCACATTCCACACTGGACCTTGCTTCCTTGAACAGAATAGCTTAGTGATATTTGGACAGGGAACTATCAATTGGGCTAAAGATAAACATCATCAAAGATATAAGCTAAAGGAAGCAAAGTTAAATGAGAAGAAGCTCTCTCACCGGCTCACCCCAGTTCAGCCTTAGGTCGGAATGGTCCCAGTCATACCATGGATCCCTCTCTTGTTGTGAGCGGTCTGGGAGCTTTGGGTAGTCGCCATACCTGAGAGAGAAATCGAGGACTTCCAGAAGGAGCTGCAAACCGCCACATACAACTCAGTGGCCTCATCTCAGAAATAAGAAACCAAGTGACAGAGCTGATCACTTCACCTAGAGACAGAGGAACTGACTCTCAAATCGAGATCCCAAGTGCTAGTCACCACGCAAAGAGCCAGCCACACAAGTCCACACATCACCTTTCAGAAAGGATTCTGAATGTTTTCAGCAGCAAGAAATGACAAATATTAAGGCACTAGAGACATTTACCTTGGTTTGAACATTATACAATGTTTACATATATCAAACATCACATAGTACTGTTATTTAGGTACAATTTTGATGGGTCCATTAAAAAAAAAAAAGGAAAAAGAACAAAGTTTATGTCACACTGTGACAAATAAAACATATTTAAGCTTCTCTTATTTTAACAAAAGTTAAAGAGGCCACACAATGCTATACTGTTGGGAGGTGAAAGGGAATTTATTAATGAGTTATTCTGATTCCCTCATTAAACAGAAAAACTAAAGTCCAGAATCTGACTCCAAAGTCACTCAGCTCATCAGAATAAAAGTGACAAAGGGACTGGTTAAAAAGTAATGGCAAGGGTGCTCCTCAGCCCCTGAGCAGCCACACATCTCCACAGCTAACACCTCACAGGACTTCTGGCCAGGCTGGGTCGTCTTCTCCCAAAAATGGAGGCTCATTTTATCCAGACTGCTGCCAAAGCTGCCACAACACAATAGTAAGCACAGCAAATTATGACAACTAAATATGTGTCAACAGAAGATGATGGGAAAAAGCAGAGAAGTAGGGACTGCTGAAATAAAGACGAAAAATGCGATGGTAAGACAGGGAATGCAGGCAGTAGTTACTGCTTCAAATCAACAGTCGGCAGCAATGCTGGGGGTGGCTGGGAAACTGGCTATTTAATCCACCTTATAGTTGCTACAATTTCCACAGCCCTAACAGGAAAAACATTTTTTGAAAAAGAAACATCACACACAAAATCCACAGAGCACTCCATCTACAGATAACGGTTCTAGTGACAGGAGTCTAGCTCCAGCTGGTCACGTGCCTGGCTGACAGCACCTGAGCCCAGCAGATGCTCAATCTAAATGAAACTCCGCGCTCTGGATGGAGCCAGGGAAGGTTCCTGCTATCTGCGGATCCTCCAGGGAGCCATTAAAGCCTCGACTTCCTCATTTGAGGAACCGGGCTGAGCCAAGGAGAAAATTGAAGTCCTCTCGGCTGCAGCTGCTCTCCCAGCCCCTCCCGCCTCCCGCCACCGAGAAAAGCACCCCCACACCGCTGACGCGGAGAAGGGGGGGCACGAGAAGGTACAGGTGAGAAGGTCCGAGCCGAGCCACCCCTTCCCAGCCTGCCCTCTCTCTCTCACCCCATGCCATCATCCGGGTAAGGTTCATAATCTTCCACGCGCATATTATACTTCTTGGCGGCGGCGGCCCGTTCTTCGGCGGTCTTAGGATAGGGCCCCGGGAGCATGTCCTTCGTAATATGGGAGGCTGGGCGGAGAAGAAGGTAGGTCAGGAGAAGCCCCGTTCTCCCAGCGCCCTCAAGGCTTCACGAGACTAAGGCCAAAGCCCGGGACCCCGCGGCCCCAGCACGACCCTCTACCTCCGCCGGGACAAAGGCACCGAGATAACCAATGACACACCCTCCTGACACACCAAACCTCAGGCGGCATCCCCTTCCCACCCTGAGGCCTCTCGCCCTTTCCTGCGGACCTGTCCGTGCGCCCAAAGGCACCACGTTCCGGGCTGCCCTTTGCAGCCACCCGACTGCCAGGATCCCGGTCCTGGCCGCCGCCATCTTCACCTTCCTTCTGGGTTTACTCCGCACATGCGCAAAAGCGCGCCACGGCGGCTGAGCGGGGCCAAACGCAACCGCCGAGAACGGCCGTGAACTCTGCAAGGTTCCGACCGAGGAGGGCTCTCGAGACGCAGTTGGGAAGTCTACACGGAGACCAGCGGGTCCGTAAAGGATGGGAGGGCTAGCGGGAAGTAGAGAAAAGCCAGCCAAGTCGCTTTTTTACTAGTTCAGGTTGTTGAGTCTTTTCTCCTTCGGCCGATTTAAACCCATGCAGCAATTAAAAGGGTCCCGGAGCGTCTCAGGAGGATCTCGGCGCCCCTCCCCCAGGAGCGGGGTAGGCTACGACCCTGGCTGACCCTCTGCTCTGGCTGCTCGCCTTGTCCTTCTGCTTGCTTGGTCTTCTTGCTTCCATTCCCGGACGCGATCATTTTCCAAATTCAGCATTTGATCTTTGTTTTTCTGGTTCGCTTCTCCACGTTCCGGCCCCTCTGGGATGCTGCAAACGGCGCAAAGCAGCCTTGGAGAGACTACGGGCTCAGTCGGTTAGTTCTTCCCAGTGTCCCAGGCACTTCAGCCCAACAGATATGAAAACAAACCTACTACAGAGGTAGCTCCAGGAAACAGCCTCAAGCATTAAACATGCTAGGATCTGGAGATTTCACCCCGGCCCATGAAGAATGCAAACTCTTGAGCTAACAGAACAAAGGGAGATGTTTACACACGGATATGTTTTCACTTTATTTACACGTTATAAATAAGCACCTGTTTCCAGGGACTTTTAGGGTGATCGCTGGGTTAGAGCAAATTCATGATTATAGACATTCGCAAATGTATGTCAGAACAATGAAGTGGATGTGGACGAAAGGCATGTTTAAATCCAAGGATGCACTGCTTCCCAGACACTTGCTGCCTTGTAAAATGATCAGCAATTGGTGTTCAGAATAATCGGACAACATCTGCGCTGAGCCCATAGCAAGCCCTATATGTGGATCAGAAAACTGATTTGCTCTACTCATTTTAGTTAAGATAGTATATGTCAAAATTTGCCCTCTCTTAAATGTACAATAGAGGCCACTATTGGGGAACTGTGGGCTGTCACTGCTTAGGAGGCTGGCATGCCACATCCAAGGGCTGGTTCCAGCCTTGTCCGCTCTGCTTCTGATCCACTTTCCTGCTAACACTTTTGGAAAGGCAGCTGATGATGACCCAAGCATGCGGGCCCCTGCTACCCATGTGGGAAACCAGGATGAAGTTTTCCTAGTTCTTTGCTGCTGCCTGGCCCAGACCTATTGCAGCCCATGTACGGGATGATGGAAGATTTCTTTGTCTCTTCCTCTCTCTTACAAATAAATAGATAGGCATCATTTAAAAGTGTATAGCAAAGTGATTTTTCAAGTGTTTTTAAACAATTTCTATGTCTTTTTTTTAAAGATTCATTTATTTTTATTGGAAAGTCAGTTATATAGAGAGAGGAAGAGAGAGAAGAAGATCTTCTGTCCGATGATTCACTCTCCAAGTAACCACAACAGCTGGAGCTGAGCCGATCTGAAGCCAGGAGGCAGGATCCTCTTCCAGGTCTTCCACACGGGGTGCAAGGTCCCCAAGGCTTTGGGCCGTCCTCAACTGTTTTCACAGGCCACAAGCAGGGAGCTGGATGGGAAGTGGTGCTGCTGGGATTAGAACTGGTGCCCATAGAGATTCCGGCACATGCAAGGTGAGCACTTTTAGCTGCTAGGCTACCACACCTGCCCCCCTGTCTAAAACCTAATGATTCTACCCTTTGGTAGATAGCCAATAGAATTGAAGATACCTAACCACAGAAAAACATGTGCGAGAATGCTCATAGCAGCATAATTTATACTAGGTAACAGTGGAGGCAGCCCAATGTCCTTTTTCATGTGGTGCTGGATTCCATTTGCCAGTATTGTATTGAGAGTTACTGCATCTATAGCCAAAATGATTTTTTTTAAATTTTTCACTTTATTTGAAAGGCAGACACAGACATCTTCCACCCTCCAGTTTACACACACACACACACACACACACACACACACACACTCTGCAACATGCAGGAGCCAAGAACTCAGATTGGGTCTCCCACATGGGTGGCAGGGACCAAAGTAGTTGGGGCATCTTCTGTTGCCTTCCCATATATGTATTAGCAGGAAGCTAGAACTTGGAGTGAGACCCAGGCTCCATGCTGTCACTCTCACATCTCTCAGGCTTCTGTCTCTGATTTCCTGTTGTAGATTTAACAGGCTGGAGTGAAAAGGTCAGGCCCACATAGAATAAACTCCACTTGATTAACTCAAAGTGAACTGATTGGGCTCTTAAGTACATCTTTGTCAGGGATTGTAACCTAACTATAGGAATGATACCCGATCCTAGTTACAAGTCTTGCTTTCATTTAAGGGAACAGACTTATACTGAATGTGTACACCAGGGGATGCGAATTTGGCTATCCATTTTAGAATTCAACCTTCCAAAACTAGTCACAAGAATTGTGTAAGTAAGTAATAAAGATAATGGGTATGATCTTTCATAACTAATGTGGAGTGTCCGGCGATGTGAGATGTCCAGGGCTGGCCACTAATAATAACATTGGTATTAGGTTTTTTCTTTTTAAAGATTTATTTATTTTTATTACAAAGTCAGATATACAGAGAGGAGGCGAGACAGAGAGCAAGATCTTCCCTCCGATGATTCACTCCCCAAGTGAGCGCAACAGCCGGTGCTGCGCTGATCTGAAGCTGGGAACCAGGAACCTCTTCTGGGTATCCCACATGGGTGCAGGGTCCCAAGGCTTTGGGCTGTCCTTGACTGCTTTCCCAGGCCACAAGCAGGGAGCTGGATGGGAAGTGGAGCTGCCGGGATTAGAACCGGCGACCATATGGGATCCCAGCGCATCCAAGGCGAGGACTTTAGCTGCTAGGTCACGCTGCCAGGCCCGGTATTAAGTTTTAAACGTACTTTAAGTTCCTAAAGTTCTTACGTTGTTACGTGCAACTAATTCCCGCAGCCAAGTCCTCTTTTTACAATTAGTTTACTGGAAGTCAAAATCCGAGACACAGCAAGGTGCTTAGTAGGTCCTTTATACCACCAGGGTAGGAACGGGAGCAGGGGTTGAGGGGGAGAAAGCTGGAAGGGACACATCTCCCGCGGTGGTGGCAGGATAGCAGCTGCCAGGGAAGGGGAAGGGACAGAGTCGATGGGAGAGCGAGGAGGAAAAGAGAAAGTGGGGCACCTGGGGGCCTTTTTGTCATTCAGGTGAGCCTGCAAGGCCTGTGTGTGTGTGTGGGGGGGGTAAGCCCCAGGGGATTGGTGCCTGAGATCGGCACAGGTGATTGCCTACAGACAATTGGTAAGTGGGCGGGAGTTGGGAAACGGGTCCAAGAGAGATTGGGTGTAGGATTCTCAGGTGAGATACTGGGTTACATCTGATTGGTGGATAACCAGAATGGCGCGAATTTCGTGAGCTGTGAGGAGGAGGAAATGGCACAGGGTCCAAGATGGGATGTTTGAATCATTCCTCACAATTGGTCTGTGGAAAGAATCTATTCAAGTAAGAAAGAGGATGGTATAGGCAGGAAAAGGGAATGGTGTTAAAAGCCATTACACCTTGATTTAAAGGAATTCAACTTGCCATGATCACTTTTACCTAATCCTTTAAAGTCTGCAGCCTTAGACTAAAAAAAATCTATCAATGTGGTAATTGTAATTCAAAAGACAGCAACAGGGTCTGGCATGGTAGTCTAGTGGCTAAAGTCCTCGCTTTGCACGTGCCAGGATCTCTTATGGACGCTGGTTCTAATCCCAGTATCCCTGCTTTCCATCCAGCTCCCGGCTTGTGGCCTAGGAAAGCAGTCGAGCACGGCCCAAAGCTTTGGGACCCTGCACCCACGTGGAAGACCCAGAAGAGGTTCCTAGTTCCTTCCAATACAAATAAATTAAATAATAAAAAAGACAGCAACAGAGGAGAAAGGCAGGGAGAGATCTCTCATCTGCTGGCTCACTCCTCAAATATCCACAACAGCTTAGCCTAGGCTGAAGCTGAGACACCAGAACTCCAACTGGGTCTCCCATACGGGTGGCACGGCCCAGCTACCTGGGTTATCCCAGCTGCCTACCCAACCCGGTGTAGGTGGATAGAGTTTGCGTCTTCCACACCTAAGGATGCAAAGGTCAGTGCCTACCTAAGCTTGCCGCCTTCGCCTCTTGTGCTCACTGAGGCAGCAATATTTCGTCTTGACCCCTTGTTTAGTGGCTCCCTGGTCGGGCTCCGGTTCAAGAAAGGAGCCTGGCGTGTAGAACTGTACGGTGACCATTAGGAGGCGCGCCCCCACGGCCTCGGCGCCGGGTTCTGGGTGTCGCTGGATCATCTCTATGGTTTCGTTGTGGGTTTTGTCCGGAATAGGCGGAACTTCCGCTTCCGGCGGGGCCGTCCTTAGCGGCGGAGATGGCGGCGACAGCGTCTGAGGCCACGGCCTCCGGCTCTGGAGAGTCCCGGGAGGAGGCCGAAACGCCAGGTCCCGCCTGGGATGAATCTCAGCTTCGAACTTACAGCTTTCCGACCCGACCCATCCCGCGTCTGAGTCAGAGCGACCCCCGGGCAGAGGAGCTGATCGAGAATGAGGTGGGGGGCGGGGCCGCGCCCCGAGGGGAGGAGGACGGGACCCCTGGGGAGCAGAGGTGATAAGGGAGAGGGCCGGCCAGGCTGCTGAGCCCTTCAAGATGGAGGGGAAGGCGAGGGCAACGTGGGTTGGGGGCGGGTAGTGTAAGGGACAAAGTGTTTAGAAGTTGGGAAGTAGTTGAAATCCTGGAGCAGGATCCACCTGCCCCTTATCAGCACTGCCTTTTTTTTTTTGGTCGCCTGACGCAGGAGCCTGTGGTGCTGACCGACACGAATCTGGTGTATCCCGCCCTGAAATGGGACCTGGAATACCTGCAAGAAAACATTGGCAACGGAGACTTCTCCGTGTATAGTGCCAGCACCCACAAGTTCCTGTACTACGACGAGAAGAAGATGGCTAACTTCCAGAACTTCAAGCCACGGTCCAATAGGGAGGAGATGAAGTTTCAGGAGTTTGTTGAGAAGCTGCACGATATCCAGCAGCGTGGTGGGGAAGATAGGTGAGTGCCCGGAGCATGGGTTTTCCATCAGATTTTGGGCATTTCCTTTTCCTTGCCTTGTGTTTGTTGGGCGCTGTGTTGGGAGTTGGACGAACATGGGCATCTCTCATTACTGGCTTCCTGCTGAGTGAATATTCTGCTTTTCTATCCTGTGAGGGGTTTGAATTCTTAGTACTGGACTAGTAATCAGAGAGATAGGACATGATTGAATGGTCAGTCTGTAGGTTTTGTTTTTGTCGTGAGTGAGATCCGGGCTTGCTTGGAAAGGTCGGTCAGGTGAAAAGGGGTATCATTGGGTGGATGCTGTGGTGACATCGCGCTGCAGGTGTGTGCGAGGTGGGGAGCAGTGGGAGGGGTAATCGTTTGCTCATTTCCATTGGGCAGCCCGAATAACTTTCAAGTAATGCTGAAAAGCAGGGTTTATGTTCATTTTTAAACATGAACATCTAATTGTAATGTTTACGAAGACTTCTGAGCATACTGAAAGATTGTTTGAATTGTGGAACAAAGGTTACTCAGATTGGATTCTAAGAGAGGGTGCTGATGCTCTATGTTGTCATAGCGACCACAAGACGGCCCTGGGAGATTACTGACTCCTCTGTGTTGAGGACAGCTGCTTGTCTGAGTCCCAGGCAGTATTCTGTCCCACACTGTTACATGGCCGTTGCTCTCACTGAGGCCCTCAGCTGCCATTGACAGGTCATTCACAGTTGCTGTCTACCCAGGCCTTTTCTCTAAGTCTCCTGAGTCCTTGTCAGTGACATGTGGCTAAATGAAGGGGCTCAAACTATCTTTTTTTTTCCCTTCTTCCTTACACTCACAGCTTATCATGATGATGGAATTTTCACCAAAAACATTTCTGAGGTCGGAACTGTTCATTCTTCTGTCCTTTATGTATGACCAAGGCACATTCAGTTATCTCATGCATCGAGCTCCTCAGCTTGAGCCCACTGCGCATGTGCAGGAGATACTGATGCTGGTCGTGGTGCTGGTGGAGAGTGCAGAAATCTATTGAGTGGCATGTGCTCCTGGAGTGAGCATGAGAGAAGATGCAGGTTTCTGTCCTTTGAGGCCTCTTGCCACCTGTGATGAGAGCATTTTGTGTCACTGTGTGTGACCCATTGGTGTAATCTATAGAGGGTTTTCTCTTTAAAGATCGATTTATTTGAAAGGCAGTTACAGATATGGAGGGGTGGGGAAGGAGAAGGTCAGATCTTCCATTTGCTTTTTTGCTCCCCAAATGGCTGCAACAGCGGGACAGGTAGAGGGAGAGTGAGAGACAGAGAACTAGAGATCTTCTATCCACTCATTCACCCCCCAAATGACTGCAATGGCCGGAGCTGGGAAGTTTCAAAAGCAGGAGTTTTTTCTGGGTCTTTATATGGGTGCAGGGGTCTGAGCATTTTCCCATGAGCGTTAACAGGAAACTGAATCAGGAACAGAGCAGCCAGTACTGAAATCAGTACCCACATGGGATGCCAGCATCGTAGCTGGTGTTTTTACATGCTATGCCACAATGCCAACCACAGATTAGAAAGTTTTCTAGGAAAGTTTATACTATGGGCAAATCTTGCCTTATCATCTGACTTTGGCACCAACCAATTCTACTTTGTGTAATGTGTTGTAGTGATTACGGGATAAAAGATTTTTGTATCTTCTTTTAGCGATCTCAAGCATTTACTATTCAGGTATATTGTTTAGATTTTTGTTTAGGAGCTAGCCCTGTCTATTTTCAAACTTTGTGTGTGAATGTATATACCATAATTTCAGGGTCAAGCCCAGAGGTCGCATTCAAATCTTGAGGGTTCCATGCCTTCAAAAAGGTAGCTAGCTAGTGTTTCTAGCTTAGCAAGAGTTCTTTTACCTTTAATTCCATTTTCCCACAGACCATTTAAACAAGATGTATTCATAAGTGTCACACAGGGCCTGAGGATGGGAAGGGAGATCTTGAGTTGGCTGATTGATTCCCGAGAAGGCTGCAACATCCAGGGCCAGGCCAAGCTGAAATAAGAAGCCAGGAACTTCGTTTTGTCTCCCATGTGGGGCCAGGACCTCAAGAACTCGGCCCATCATCTGCTGCTTTCCCAGGTGATTAGCAGGAAGCAGGATCGGAGGCAGAGCAACCAGGACCCAAACAGGGAACCCACTGCTCCATGCCAACCTGCTATCAACATTTCTAAATAGTATCTCCTTAAACATGATTCTGGGAGCCAGTAGGTGCGGTAGCAAATAAACTTCATCTGTGATCACCATCAGTAACCCCTGTGAGCACTGGTTCAAGTCCCAGCTGCTCCACTTTCGATGCAACTCCTTGCTAATGGCCTGGAAAGGCAGTGGAGGAAGGCCCAAGTTCTTGGGCCCCTGCACCCATGTGGCGAACCGGAAAGAAGTGTCAGGTGCCTGGCTTTGGATTAGCCTACCTCTAGCAATTGTGGTCATTTGTAGAGTGGATGAAAGATCTCTCTGTCTCTCCCTCGCTCTTTCTCTGCTTTTCAAATAAATAAACCTTAAAAAGAAAGTTAACAGTTCTAGGCAGTGAAATGCCTTTGAGCCTTTTGAAGTAATGTTCTTAGGACTAGAAAGGGCTACTCTGGTCTTCTCTTTGGGTTTGCTGTCTTAGTAAATGTGCCTTGTGGGACTTGATCAAGTGTGTCTGGATTTTTGTATCTGTTAAATAACTTCTGACTTTGCTCGAGTGTAGTTGGAGCCTAGCATTATGTCTTCTTTCCCTTAGCTGTAGAAAGCTGATATTTGTGACTGACTGGCTGAATTAGTTAAAATGAACCGGAATTCACACCGTAACTTGGTGACATGATAAAGCCAGTTTTGTGTCTCACTCTTTCTACATGTTCATCCTGGGTCATGTCATCTTATTCACTTGGGAACCCAAACTATCCCAAAAGTGCTTATCTGGAACTTTGGACATGTTACCTTGGACAGCTTATTCAAAATTACAGTTGAGGGGATGGTGCTGTGGCATAGTAAGTTAAACCTCCACCTGTGATGCTGGTGCCCTATGTGGAGACCAGTTTGCATCCTGACTGCTCCATATCTGATCCAGCTCTGCTAATGTGCCTGCTCCATATCTGATCCAGCACTGCTAATGGGAAAGCAGTGGAGGATGGCTCAAGGCCTTGAACCCCTGTACTCACATGGGAGACCTGGAAGAAGTTCCAGGCTCTTGGCTTCTGACTAGCCTAGCTCTGGCTTCTACGGCCATTTGGGAATCAATCAACAGATGGAAGATGTCTGTCTGTCTGTTTCTCTTTTCCTCTTCCTCCCTCTCTCTCTCTCCATCCCTCCTTTTCCCCTTTTCTCTTTGTAAGCATGCCCTTTGCATTAAAAAATAAGTAAATTTTAAAAAAAGGTCACACTTGCAGCAGTGCAAGTTTCTGCTATGGATATTTCATTGACCAAAGCAAGTTCAATAAGGAAGCCTGGCTTCAAGGGAATCTATAAGACTACCTCTGGCCAGAAGGGACGAGCTCTTACTGAACAGGGATGCAGTCCTCCACAGTGGCCCTCAGGGGCCAAAGCAGATGTCCCTGGAGCAAGGTTGATTCAGCGTTCAGGGGTCTGTGGATAGGCTCCCAGGAATCTGTATGTGCATTTTTATGGTGGACCTGCGAGGTTCTAGCACTTTGTGGAGATGGTGGTATGAATCTGTGGTTGTATTTCCACCCTTGGGGATACCATGCCAGGGACTGTGGGGTGCTTGTACTAATGAAGTTTTTTCTTGGGGAATGTAGGTTGTATCTGCAGCAAACACTCAATGATACTGTGGGCAGGAAGATTGTCATGGACTTCTTGGGCTTTAACTGGAACTGGATTAATAAGCAACAGGGAAAGCGTGGCTGGGGACAGCTGACTTCTAACCTGTTGCTCATTGGCATGGAAGGTAAGAAATCTTTAGGCCAGGAGCCTGACTCAGATTTGTGTAAACTTTTTTTCTAATCCCCTATCCCTAATTAGTTCCATGATTGACCAGGTCCCTTAATTCTCAAGCCTCGACCTCATCTATAGAGGAAACATAAAATACCTTCTAAACCTGAGGAGACTTCAGAAAATTTATGGGAAAATAGAGTTAAAAATTAAGCTTATTTTAATGCCAAAGTATTTTGGAATTCATGTGTAGGTTTTTCATGATGCACATTTTTGGTGAATTTTTTGAAGAACCCTGTATGCATGGATTTCAAAATTTTTTTGTTCAAAATAATTTTTTTTAATGAACTTTGTGAAGTACCCTCATTGTGGCAGGAGTCACATATGTGACATATCACATTGTGATCATATATGTTAAATCTTGAAGAAGCTAGCTTTATGCACCTGGAAAGTTCCCATTCTGCTTCTCAGACGCGATGTGAATGCATTCCTTGGCGTACTAGAGATCCTTTTGAAACACTCTTGCTCTTTGACCTCATTCAGATTAAATTTCTCCTGGGTTTTCAGTGTAAATCCACCCTTTAAATAAATAATAGATGATGGATATCAAAATCCAAATATGTAAAGAGCAGTGATAGGCAGCACCTATGACTAGCCACTCAGGGTTCCTGCAGGTGATTTTATGCAGACATAAGCAAGCATGTGACTCTGTTTTTATTTATTTGTCTTTTGACTAAAAATGAGAAGTCTGCAAAGGCCAGTTAGGCAAGGGAGGTTCATTGTCTTGTTTTTATTTCTGGCGCTAGATTGGTTCTAGGCCCTTAGTAGGTACTTAGTAAATGGGAACTAAACTGAATTGAACAAGGAAGCAAAGGACTGGTTAATCCCACAAAATAGGTTGTGCATGCCTTGTTGATAACAGGCATTTTTAACTCTGTTACTTCCCCTAAGTTCTTGACATGATCAAGGAAAGTACATGTATACATAGTTTGTTACACTTCTATTAAGAAGAGTAGCCATTGCTTGGAAAAGTCTATTTTGCTAGTTGGTCATAGACCCATACCCTCAGCTAGACTTATTACCTGTAAAAATGTAACAACTAATTTGTTGAGAGTTGTAATTAGGGTTTCTTTGCTTCTGCCTGGCATTTGCTTAGAAGGGGGCCTGGGTTTTCCACCAGCACAGGCTCTGCATTCAACTTGTGTGGTGGTGGTACTGCTGTAGGTAAGATGGTATCTTTCTCCCAACAGGAAATGTGACTCCTGCTCACTATGATGAGCAGCAGAACTTCTTTGCTCAGATTAAGGGCCACAAGCGATGCATCTTGTTCCCTCCGGATCAGTTTGAGTGCCTCTACCCATACCCTGTCCATCACCCATGTGACAGACAGAGCCAGGTGAGCTTGTGTGGTCTGAGTAGGATAAGGAACTTGAGATTCTGGAAGTGCCTTTGGGCACAAGGCCTGGGCTGTCACTGGATTACAGATCAGTTGTGTCCTACTGACAAAGCCAGAATATGATTTCATTATGTAGTTCACATAGCCCAGATTCCTGTAGTGGTTACCCCATGTTGTAAGTATAAATAACCCCACAAGTGGAATTCCCAGGAGCAATCCTCATCACTTACGTTGGTGGACTTGGGGTTACTGTTTAGTTGGCTCACAAGTTCATGCAACAAACTGTTTGTATCCATTGGATTTAAGTGTGGGTTTATTTTGTCAGGTATGCTTTTTTTTTTTTTTTTTAATATGGGGAGAGGAAAAAAATCAGGATTTGTCACTTTACCTATTTCCTGGATCTCAGGGAGTTATGTGGTTGATTCCGTGGCCAACAGATACAGATACATCTCCTTTCTTGGAGCAACACTTACCTAGCTATTCATGTAGGTGTTTTTATGGCTTAGAGCTTGTTTTATAGAGGAAGTTTGTGAAGGTTTGGGTGAAAGATGAGTCTTACTTCCTCCTGTTCTCAAACCATGGAATATATCTTCTGACCCCAGAAATATCCTAGGATTCATTTTTGTTTGTTTTATGAGGAATACAATCTATGTGTAGTTTTATGGGCTATAGAACAATTCTTTTCAACAAATGTACACTGTGCATAGGTCAAATCAGGCAGTTAGAATCCTCACCTCCTTGTCGCCTCTACCTACCTATCTATCTATCTGTCTATCTATCTATCTATCTATCTATCTATCTATCTATCTATCTATCAATCAATCAATCATACAGTTCTACAGGCTCAGGGATTTCCCTTTCCCCCCTTGTATTATTTTTTTTGTTTGTTTAGAACTTATAACCTTCTCTTCCAGTTCCTCATATAATACACAATGCAGTACCACAAACTATAGTCACACTTTGTGCTATGCAATGCTAGCACCCATTCTGTGTGTTTTCTTAAGATTTTATTTTATTGGGGCCGGTGCTATGACACATCAGGTTAGACCTCTATCTGTGGCACTGGCATCCCTGTATGGGCACCGGTTTGAGTCCTGGCTGGTTCACTTCTAATCTGACTTTTTACTTTGGGCCTGGGAAAGCTCAAGGCCTTGGGCCCCTGCACCCATATGGGAGATCTGGATCAGTTAAGCTCCAGGCTTTGGACTGACTCAGCTCCAGTATTACATCCATTTGAGGAATGAACCAGCAGAAGGAAGAGATCTATCTCTCTCCTTGTCTTTCCCTCTCTCTCTCTTTCTCCCTCTTTTGTAACTCCCTTTCAAATATAAATAAATCTTAAAAAAGTTTTCTTAATAGTGAAAATTTGAAAATGTATATTTTATTTCTTTGAAAGGCTGAGTTACAGGGAAATCTTCCATCTGCTGGCTCACTCCCCAGTGGCCACAATGGTCAGGGCTGTGCTAAGCTAAAGCCAGCAGTTTCTCGTGGTTCTCTGATGTGGGTACAGGATCCAAGGAGTTGGGCTATCCTCTGCTGTTTTCCCAGGCACATTAACAGAGTTGCAGTGGGTGTGGAGCAGTGGAGATTCAAACTGGCACTATATGGGATGTTGGCACTGCAGGCAGCAGCTTTATGCACTGTAGCACATGCAGTGTCGTGCCCGTTGTCTCCCGCTAATCTCCCCAGCTTCACACTTCCAGATTGACTTCCTCACATTCCACATGAGAGAGAACATGCAGTTGTCTGTCTTTCCATGTCTGCCTAATTTCACTTCGCATAATCACCTGAACCCTAGGATCATTGAGCATTAAAGCATGGACTGCCTTACCTCATCTTGTGAGAGAGTTTAAAGTGTGTTGCATGTTGTGCTGAATACAAACTCTGAAGACTGAAAGTTTTTTTTTTTCTTTTTAAATACCAAACTAATTGGCACATTGCAGTTACTGATAAAGATTTGGCAATGAACTAATTTTTTTTTTCTTTCTTTTGAACCTTGTAGGTGGACTTTGACAATCCTGACTATGAGAGGTTCCCAAATTTCCAAAACGTGGTTGGTTATGAAACAGTGGTTGGCCCTGGTGATGTTCTTTACATCCCAATGTACTGGTGAGGAGGGGGCTAGGGCTGGGGGCCCCTGGGGAGGTTTCTTTCCCACTCCTTGGGGTGGTGTGGAGGAGTGTATCAGTGATTTTTCTGAGTTATGGCAGGATTGGTGTTCTGTGGTTTGCAGGAAGGTTGGCATGGAGTGTGCTGCATATGAGGGAAAGGACGGCACAGTTGCCAGGAAAGAATTCCTCAAGCCCAAGAAATCCCAGAGGCTTGCAGCTAGGGAAACCATGGGAAACTGCTTGGCTCTTGGATATTTGGAACCTGACTGATGTTGTCTTTAGCTTCCCTGTGTGGTTCAGAGAAGAACATAAAGATACTGTGATCAGGGTGTTCTTTAACTGGATACTACCTAGCTTTCCATCCCTCCCTCTGAAAAGCATTGGTAAACAGGAGCCTGTTTGTCTCTTGCAGGTGGCATCACATAGAGTCATTACTAAATGGGGGGATTACCATCACTGTGAACTTCTGGTATAAGGTGAATATAGTTGATTTTTTTTTTCTTCCAGATGGAACTGGGGCTGGGGTGAGGTAGGTATAATAAATGGCCTTGGCTGGGGCAGGGTGGTTGGTTATCCCTGGAAGTGATTCTGAGGAGATGAAAAGGAAGTGACTTGAGTTGAATTTCTTAGGAGGGTAGGGGTTTCCAGGAACAACAAAAAATGACGTTGAGGCCTACTGCTGCTTCCTTTGTAGGGTGCTCCCACCCCTAAGAGAATTGAATATCCTCTCAAAGCTCATCAGAAAGTGGCCATCATGAGAAACATTGAGAAGATGCTTGGAGAGGCCTTGGGGAACCCACAAGAGGTGAGTCAGGATTGTCATGAGATTGTCCTTACCACCTCTCAGGGTCTACCGTCTTTTCTCTCCATAGAGGTTATGGGCATGTTCAGAAAATTCTTGTTTTCTTGTGAGAGCTGGGCTTGAGTGGCGGATCAATTATAATCTGTTCCGTGCTAGTAGTAATGTTTCCCGCGGGGTTTGTGTGCCAGCTGGGGACCCCTGTGGGGATTCTTTTGGAATGGGAAGTGAGCAGCAAAGCATCTCCTTGCACTCTCCCAGCTGTGCTGTGGCTGCTGCAGGCAATATTGACACCTGCTTCCCGCACAGGTGTACCACTGGCCTGAACGGAAGCGAAGAGAATTTGTGTTGGTGAAGCACTTGCCTCCTTCCTGTAGGTAGCCTCGACCTCCATCACCTGTGGGCTTAGGAGAGCGCCACAGTCCCAGTTGCATGTGATCTTCTGTTGAGGGTATAGAGACATTTAATATGCTGAGGGCATGTTGGAGAGGCAGACATGTTCTTGGGTGTCATTAATTCCCTTGGTCTTCATGAGTATGTTGTTTCTTACAGTGTATTGTGAAAGAGACAGTAAGAGAAGATAGACCCTGAGGAGAGGGCATGCCCACAGTGCTGATTTGACCTTCAGAAAGCCAGTTGATTAGAGTTCACAAGATTGTGTGAAAGCCTTGTCCCGTTCCTTGGCTGGACATTATATGTCTCTGGACACACCTGGTCCAAGTTCAAGGCCAAGGGACAGGCAGTTCTGACTGACTCCTCATGTCTCTTTACAGGTGGGGCCCTTGTTGAACACAATGATCAAGGGCCGATACAACTAGCCTGCTGGGAGTCAAGGCCTCCTGCCAGGTGACTGCTGTCCCGGCCACACCGCTTCATTGATGAGGACGGGAGCCTCCAAGTACTAGAATTGCACGCTGCACTTCATGGACTGGACTCTTGCCATGGCCTGGAGGAAGGTGTATGGGGCGAGGCAGGGTGGTTGGCACTCCACTGCCATCTGGAGGGACTTCTTATCCTTGCCTCTGGTGCCCCAACACCTCCCCTCTCTGCCCCCCTAAAGTCCTGCATTCAGTGTGTAGAGTCCCAGCTTGTGGTTGTCATCATGTCTGCGTGTTGGTCTGTCAACCTTGGGATGTCTGTGTCCATACACACACATGTGTATCTGTCCTGCTTCCCCTTCCTTTGGGTCAGGATGTTACTTCTGGCTCTCAGCCCTGTCTCCTGTAACCTCAGTGCCTCAGCCTGAGAGAGGAGATACTCTGGGGTCCCTGCTGCATCTGGGCTACAGGGCCAGAGCTAGGCTGACCGTTGGGGCAGTCAGCCTCCCACTGGGTTTTTACATTGTCGGGATCTAGGCCAGAAGGGAATGGCTACTGGGACTCTAATGACTGAGAGAGTGGCTTGTCTTGAAGAGCCTAGAACGCCTTCCAGTGAGCGAGAATTAGCCAGGGTTCCAGCTGGGACCTGTAAGCTCAAGCCATACACAGGAAGGAACCTTGGGACTTAAAAACCAAGGGCTGTGCAGAAATTCCAAATTATAGACACATGCAGCTTTTCTCTTTCAGCACCAGCTCTTACCCCTGTGCTAGGTATCCAGGGAGTTGTAGCTGTGGTTCCTTCAGGTTCTAAGTGTGCAAGCCTCTGTGTGTTTACGTGTACATGTGTGCGTGCACCCACACACACTTTAATTCATACGCATGTGTGCCTGCACCGGCCAGTCTCCATGCTCACCTTGTTCAGTGGGACAATGCATTGTGGTTCCTCAGAAGTACTGCCTAAAGCTTTTTAACTTGGATTTTAGCCATCCTTTATTGGTCAGGTCTCACTAGAGCCTGCCTTAGGCTAACTGGCTAGAACCTGCAGGCCCATGATGACCCTTCCTGCCCAGGTCACATCCTCTACTCCTGCTGAGTTCCTGGCTCAGGAGATGAAACGGGGTCAAGCTGAGGCAGCTAACTCACTACCGTTCATCCACCTCAGGGCAAGGGTGAAAATGTACCCTTGCCTCTTAAAAGCCAGCACCCCTGCCAGTCCCAGTGTTGTGTTCCACAGCACCCTCAGGAGTCAGGATCCCTGGTAGAGCATGGGAAGAGAATGGCTTTTTCTGTTGGTTACTTACAGGCACCCCACTCAGAGCTTCAGCTTACAGCTGGGCAGCTGTGGAGCGCACAGCTTGAAAAGCCAATGTTCACAGCTATTTAGTGGGAATGGGATCTCTGGAACTAGGCGGGGTGGTAGCCCTGTGTCTACTTCCATTTGTATCATCCCCTTCTCCCAGGAAGGGAGGAGGGAATTGGAAGTTTCTGGTTTTATTTTGGTTCCTTTTTTTTCCCCCCAAAGGTTTATTTCCCAGTGTCTGAACTATGGCACCCCTAACAGTCAGTTTACAGTGCCCTGTTGGACTGAGCTCTGTGTGTGTGTGTTTGTGTGTGTGTATCTTGAGGAGGGCTGTTTATTTTGAACACCTCATTGCTGGTGTTCTTTGATGCAGTGTGGATGTGCAGACAAGGTTCCTTCTCAAGTGTAGCTCTTTCAAATATAGCTAATGCTGGGAAACAGGACTGCAGTGGTCTCTATCCCTCCATCTCTAATGGGAAAGAGTGCATCAAAGAGAACAAGACAGCTGGAGGACAAGTGTGGCCACAGCCACAGTTGCAAAGAAAGCAGATTGTTCTTCTCAGCAGGTTGTTGCTGGCTCAGCACTCAAAGAAGTGGGTGATGCACAGCAGTGAGGCGTGCGCCGTTCAGCTGGCCCTTGCTAGGCGCTGTGCTGACAGTTCTGACCTGAGATGGCCAAGGAAGAGGGAGGGAGGGAGGAGGCTAATTTTGGAACCTATACAGGATTGGCCCTGATCCTTGAATAATATAGTAGTGACACCTGGTTTTCAATCATCCAATATGTGCCTAGTGTTTTTATCTTTGTTCCTCACTATCCTACAAGGTAGATATCCTCACTTCACAAATAAAGAATCGGAGAGCTTAAGTGGCAATCAGGGTTCAAACCCAAGACTCTGCCTGCAAACATCTTGCTTTCTATGTTGTCCTGCATTGCCTCTGTTCCTTGTCCCCCAGGCCTTTTAAGGTGGGTTCAGACCAAGAGGATGCAGCAGCTAGCTACAGGTCAGGGTGAGCACGCCTCTGAGCTTGGGAACACTGCTTGGGAGGTGATATTGTGAGTTAAGAGTACTGGAAGAAGCCATGGGCAGACAGAATTCTAGGTTCCTGAGGAACTTGTGTGTCTTGTAACACCTCACAGCATGCTTGTGTAGTAATAGAGTTGAAGCACTAGTTCCAGATGATCACTTGAGGGTCTTGATTCACGTTCTGCATCACTATCCCTGGTGAATTCAGAGATGGAACCTCCTTCTCTTAATTGGGTTAAGGCACTGGGGCTCCAGTTGTGCTCACAGCAGAGGAAGCATTACTGTAGGAGTTGCTGACTCCATCCTGGCCAGCACACACTGAGGAAGGATGGTTATTTGTGCCCATGTAGTAGGTCAGCCATAATCTAAATACCAGCAGCCACAGAGAATGACTATTGTGAAGTCAAATATTTGTTGGGGGGTTAGAGTTCTAGGATTGGAGGAGGGGCTGTTCTGGGCATCAGTTGAGCAGATGCCCAGGATGCCTGGGGGAGACCAGCTTCCCCTACAAATCAGAGCTCTAAATTACAAGGTTTTTACCAACGTGAACAGTTGGGGAAAGTCGTCTGCTCTCATTTGCGTAATGGTTTCTGTCACTGGTGATTAGACACAGGATGAAGGAAAAGAAATTTGACAATTAGGAATGAGCGATCATTAATCTGAATCTGTTAGGAGACAGAGGCGAAGGGTCCTTATCAATGGGCCAGACCAGTGTGGGGAGATAATCCCTCCTCTGCCTTGCAGTCTCTTAGGCTGCTACCCCTTCAGTGTGCTCTCACAAATGGATGGCTTGAGTTTCTTAACAGCAAAAAAAAAAAAAAAAAAAAATCAATGTGCAGTCGAGAGCAGCACAGGAACAGACTTCTTGGGTTAGGAGTCAACAAAACAGAGGTGTAAGATAGGAACTGTAGGGAAAAGGACAATAGAAGAGTTTTGACATATGTGTGAATTTTGTGGAAAATGTTCTGTGATGATCAACACCCCGGATCTCCTACCTTGGATGAGTGTTAGATCCTAGCAGTATGGGGCCTGAAACAGCCCAGACATTTAACAACTCTGGGAGCTTCTGCTTAGTAGGAGAGAATGCCAAGTGAACTAGCCGAGGTTACGAACCCATCCACTTGGGCGATGCTCCCCAAGTGGACTCGATAAGTTACATTGAAGAGCAAAGTTCTACCTCTGGACTCCTCCAAGCCCTGGGCTCCCCAGGGAAGAACTGACAGCCTGGAGCAGATGCAACAGGCGATGACCCTCTGTGACTAGTGTTACCCTGATGGAGTAGGCCCAGAAATAGCTCAGGGCATTGCACAAGGCTGTTCTATTGCCCCTTGTCTGGGACATCCAGCTGCTGGTGCTCTAGGCCTTGCCCCCTGTGATTTCTTCTCAGACTTCTTCCAGCACCCCTCAGTTCCTCTGCAGAGGAATCCCGTTACCACAGCATTTTCCCCCTAAACAGGTGCCTTTCCCCCAGAAGCTCACTGGTAGCAAGTGTTGGATGGATTGGGTTGTAGGACCACTCTCCCTCGCATTATGTCCATTGGAGGTCTATCTTTCCTGACCTTTGAGAGCTCTGATTATCTGCCCATTGCTAATCTGATTCTGCATCTGCTCTGTCCTCTTGCCATTCCCTTGTCAGTTCTGCTCATCCTCACCCTGGGGCCCATGCCTGTTTGTCTTCGGCCAACTTGATGTAACCCACGTGGGTCTTGGCACCTTGTAAGATTTATTTTTATTGGAAAGTCATATACAGAGAGGAGAAGAGTCAGAAGATCTTCTGTCCACTGATTGATTCCCCAAGTGGCTGCAACAGCCAGAGCTGAGCTGATTCAAAGCCAGGAGCCAGGAGCTTCTTCTAGATCTCCCACATGGGTGCAGGGTCCCAAGGGTTTGTTCTGTCCTCAGCTGCTTTCCCAGGCCACAAGCAGGGAGCTGAAGTGGGGCTCCCGGGATTAGAACCGGTGACTGTATGGGATCCCAGAGCATTCAAGGTGAGGACTTTAGCCACTAGGTTACTGCGCCAGGCCCAGTTCTGGTGCATTTTGAGGGATGAAGCCTCACACACATAACCTTCAGCCATAGGGGCCTCTGGTTGGGGGAGGGACCTAGACCATGATAGAGAACCAGGAAGGGCTGGGCATGGGCATTGATCAGGACACTAAGTATGGTGCCAGGCTTGGCAAATGAGGGTAGAACTAAAGCTTGTAAATGACTTGTCCTGAATGCTTTGGGGTCCCAGCAGTTCAGGGATGAAGGGCATTTTGTAATGAGATTCTTTCCTCAGGTATCTGGTTCTATGTCATCAAGCTTGGCTGACCTCTGCATTCTAGAGGTTGCTGGAAGGAAACTGGCACATTGAGTAGTCAGCTGTCAGGAGTGGAGGCTTAGAGGAGAAAGCCTGAGAGACAAAATGTCCCCATGGCCAGCTCATCCCAACTCTGCTCCTCTGAGAGTTTGAGTCTGAGAGAGAGACATTTAAAAACTGCACTACCTTCACCTACCCCTGGCCTCTTTCCACCTGAAATTGGTCGCTGTTATCTGGGAGCGAACGTGTGTCCTTTCTCTTTCAGTGGGCAGAAGTCTAGCCTAGAGTTTTAAGAGCCTGGCTTTGGGAGGCTCCCTGGATTTGTCACAGATTCCCAGCCTTGCTACTTCCTAGCTCACTTTGCTCTTGGTTGATTACTTAACCTCCTTGAACCCCAGTTTCTTCAACTATGATGATAGGTAAGGGTGGGGGAAGGGGAATGGTGAAAATATTTACCTCAGGACTGTGGGATGAGGCAGAGCAGTGTCTGCAGAGCTTTAGCACAGTGCGTGGCAAGCACTTAAATGACCATGGTGGTGGTGGTGGTGGTGGTTACATTTATTGTATGACTCAGAAACTTGACTTTAGTGTTGTCCTAATGTATTCCTTCCCTCTCTCCTTGCTCAGAATAAACGTAGGAAGCATAAGGAGAAGTATCCTCCAGAGATGCCCATGTTGAGGTTGAGACATGCAGGTGCGTCTTGGTACCTGGATGCATCCTAGAAGAACCACAGTGGAGGGAAGATGTAGGCTACCTTTCCTGCATAGTCAGCCAGACTTCCGTGCTACACACATAAGCCTAGGGCGCGGGGTGAACTGGAAGGCTTGAGCTCTCTGCCCTGAAAGCTGTGAGCAGGTGGGTGTTTTCTCATTGCCTCACACCCCACGACACCAGGGCAGTCACACCAGTGTGCAATTTAGTCCATGCCTTTCAGTGTAGTTAGAGTACAAGTGTTAGGAAAGAGTAGGGTGTTAACTGTTGAATTGCTTCTGTTCTACATAGCATAGTCACTACTTATGGCATTGTTAGTTTGTTGGGTGAGATAGCAGGCCATGAAAAGTTAAGAGATTCCCAGAGAAAAGTCACCTAACTAAGCTCAGTGGTCATGGTGTGCCCCCCTTGTAGGAAGTGACAGCATCTGAGCTGGTTCCTGGAAGATGAGTAGTTAACCAAGAATTGGAGAAAAGTAGAAGGCCTGTGTTTCTGCTGTGGCTTCTGTTTGTCCTGATCCAATAACCTCTCTGCTCTTTTATATTAGAGGATTTTGCTGTTAATGATGCCAGGGAAAAGGCCAGATGATGGATCCCAAAAAAGAAAAGAATCCTTTGATGAGTTGCAGAAATCTTTAAAAATCATTTTGGCTGTTGGCCCAGATTTGTCCTGTGGTGCAGATGGGTTGGAATTGCTCATGTGTAGCCCTCCTCTCTGTATCCATATTCTGGGCTCACAAACTGCTTTGCCAGATCCTGCTTGAGAGAGACACTGGATCCAACAGCTTATACTTCGGCCTGGGGTCCACGCCCTGACTGGTGTTCTCATCCTCTTCCTTCCCTGGATGATTCCATTGATCTTGGGTTCTGTCCACACCCTTGGCCACCTTACCTCTTTCCCCATTGTGAGCCAGACCTCTCTACAGTCCCCGCTGTGCCACTCGTGTCCTGCTGCAGACCTTGGTACCCAGTCCCAGGAGTGAAGAAGCCACCTCTTTGCCTTGTGCCAGGGCACCCTCTGGGCTGCAAGCCATTCTGTAGTCTCCTTGCAATCGCTTCTTCCTCTCCCAGTAACTGGCTCTGGGCCTTGGAAGCCTTCTCTCTGTCCTTAGCCAAGTTTGCTGTTTTATTCCATTTGCTTAACACTTTAATTGTTGAGGTCAGTTCTGTCTTTTGGGGACGTTCTGTCCCTTAATCCAAGGTCTAATCACATCTGGGCTAGGTTTTGTGTTCCTTCTTGAATATATACCCTGCAGGGCATTGTGGTTGAGAGTGAAGGCTCTGCATACTACATCACCATTCTGTGTGACCTTGGATAAGTGATATGGATGGGAAAAGCATCAGCCACATTGTCATTTGAAGCAGGGCACCCAGAAGGAAGCTTAGCCGTGGGACAGGTC